TCCTTGTTATTTAATTAACTCTACTTATAATAATTCCTAATCTAAATAATTTAAATCTTATAATTTTATTGTACCCTACTTTGGATAATTAATCCACACTAAATTGCTAAGGTCACCTAAATCTAGAACTTCTACGTTTTTCAGCTATAACATCGAATTCTCAAATTTTGTCGAATAATTATTTGAAGGTCAATTGAATTCGGGTTGCAAAACTAACTGTATATTCGTAATCTACATAAAAAGGTCAACATTCTGCCATACGCATGCTCCGGTGACCGGAACAACCGCTGGCTGCCGGCGTCGCCGCCGTACAGGGTGGCGAGGGAGGCGGCAGTCTGAGATCAAGCAATTTCGACGCTAATTTGCTTAATATTTCCATGAAAATTACAAATTCCTCTTCACTTTACACAAATCATGCCATTATCTAATGAAATCCCAAATTTTAATTAAAATTTTTTTTTTTGTGACACCTTAACAAAATTTCTTCAAGGAATTTCCCTAAATCCCACAGTAAATTATCTATTGACACAAGAAAATCCAAGAAAGGAGGTTAGGAAGTCATGATCAACTCACCTTGTTGTTAGCAGTCACCGGAAGGCCGGAGGAGGAGGAGTTGCCGAAGGAGGCAGCTTCGAGCTACGCCACTGCAAAGCCGTTCGGCGCGAAGAAAAAGCGAGAGACGCGATTGGTGGCGTGAATGGAGGTGAGCGCCGCCTTGCTTCCTCGCATGGTGGCCGGAAACAAAGAGAGGAAAGGGGGAGAGGAGGTCACGCGCCTGGTGCTGGCGCAAGGAAGAAGAAGAGAAAGAAAAGAAAAGAAAAGAAAGAAAAAAGAAAAAAAGAAAAAGAAAAAGAAAAGAAAGAAAATTCTTGGGCTTCTAGACCATTTCGGTTCGATTCGAACCGGTTTGGTCTAATTTAATGTGGTCTATTTCCAATGATTCTGCTCCAATTTGCTTGAGTTTCGAGCTTTTTCGCTTGGTTTTCAAAAAATACAAACTTGGATTACATGGGTCCAGCTTAGCAATAATAAAAATACTATGTGTATAATCTCATTGGTTGAAATAAAAATTAGTTTAATGAAAATTCTACGAAATTAAGATTCGGGTCGTTTTAACTTCCCCCTTATAAAAAATTCGTCCTCGATTTTAGAAATGAGCAAGAAACAGGAATGCAACTAGAAAAGAAAAGCATGTAAGGAATTTGAAACGCATGTAAGGATATTTAACAAACAAATTATCATTTGATTGACATCCAAGAATAATTGAATGAAAGGTTTTATTATAACTCAAACCCCTTAAACTGGCAAACGAAGTTCCATCACACTAAAAATGTATTCGTTCAACCATCTATTACATCTATTGTCACTTGATTAAAACTCATAGGAAACTTAAATCTATTACTATAACCTCCAATTTCTATTATCAGTCAGCTACTGAAATCTTTAGAAAGTCGTTCAATAAAACCAAGTTTAGCAGTAACATGCATAATAATAATAATAATACATATTTTTCTCGAGATTATTTAATTTTATTTGAAAATTTAAAGTTTATTACATATTTATCCATGAAAACCATGTTCCAGGAAAGTTGAAAATACACAATGATAATGTTAAAAGGCTTTTCCGCCAATCTAACCAAAACACATAGAAAGCAAAATATATTGATAAGGATTAAATACATAACTTACGAAAACTAAAAATAATTGAAATTTGATTGACTTATAATAAGGATTAACGAAGAGAGGAAAGGGGGCGAGGAGGTCGCGCGCTACCTACTGGCGTAAGGAAGAAGAAGGAAAAAAAAGAAAAGAAAAGAAAGAAAAGAAAAAAAAAAAAAAAAAAAAAAAGAAAAAAAAAGAAAAAAAAAATCTTGGTGGCTTTTCTAGACCATTCCAGTTCGATTCGAACCGGTTTGGTCTAATTCAATGATTCGGCTCAATTTGCTTGGTTTTCGAGTTTTTCGCTTGGTTTTCGAAAGATCAAATTGATTAATGGGTCCAGCTTAGCAATAATAAAATACTAACTGGTATAATCTCATTGGTTGAAATAAAAATTTAGTTTTTAAATGAAAATTCTACGAAATTAAATTTCCGGGTCGTTTCAAACAATAACAATATTATTTTTCAAATAATAACAATAATAATATTAATAATAATAATAATTATAACATTAACAATAATAATCATAATAATAATAAATAATAATATACTAACAGAACAATGCTTAAAATAATAATAATAATAATATAAATTGAAAATAATAATAATAATAACAACAACAATAACAATAAATAATAGATAATAATAATAAACATTAACATATAATAATAATTAATAATAATACTAACAGTAACATTGAAATAAAAATAATAATAATAATTAATAATAACAACAACAACATTAACAATATTAATAATAATAATATAATAAAACAGTAACAATAGTAACTAAATTTGCAAAAACACATGAAAGTCGCAAGAAAAAAAATTCGAAAAAAAAATAAAATGCAAATCGGTCTTACTCACAATAATGTCCGAAACGGTGGCGAAACGGCTTGAGGAGTACGGATCTGCAATGGACAGGCGGTAGCGGTTCAGGCGGGCATGGAGCTTTTCATGAGGGCTGGAAGCGCGCTGCGGACGGGAGGAGAGGAGAGAGAAGGAGGAAGAGAGAAGAAGGAGAAAGAAAAAGGAGAGGGACGTCGCGTTTAAAGCAAAAAGGAGAGGGCGTCGCGTTTAAAGCCCTAAAGTTTGCGACCGACCAATCGGTTGTAAATTTCATTAACATCGGTCGCAATTTTTAATTATCCGACGTCATTTTACTACGCCATACAATTGCGACCGATTTGCGACTCATGACGTCGGTCGCAAAAAATCGATCGCAATTTTGTCTCCAATCGGTCTCAGAACTTATTCCTATTTTTGACGCGCGCAATTTTGAGACAGAAAACCACTTAGTCACAAATCGGTCGCAAATCCGTAGTACACGGGTCACAAACTGAAAACCAAACTCGCGGAAATTTTCAGTGCTAAATTCTGCGACTGTTTGCCTATACGTCGCAAATCGGTCTCAAAATTGCGACCGATTTAAGTCAGTCGCAAAAATCAGTCGCAATTTGGCGTTTTTTTTGTAGTGTAAATACTTGTCACGTTTAGATATTTCACATCCTTTAAAAAAATCATTCAATTTGTCTAAATTACAATAATATTATTGAGTGAATTAATTATACTATCCTTAAACACCAACTTTTAATTTTTCATTAATTACTATTGGTCACATGTAAATGATAAAAATGAAAAAAAAAATATTATTTGTTAAATCCACAGATGTAACAAGTATTTAGAAACATATTATTTTTCAAATGTGATAAATATTTAGAAATGGAGAGAGTATAACTTTTAACATTAGTAGCATGCGCTTGATTCAATAATTGATATTAGAGCTAATATCGCTCGTTAGATTTCTAGCAATAATTCCTGAGAGGGAGATTGCCTCGTGAGAATGTATATATAAAAATTATGTCAAAAAAACTCTGAGCTGAATTAGACGGCCCCTAATAATGAAATTTGAATATTGATAATTTAAAAAAAAAACCATATTAAAAAGAAAACTAGCATTAATTGAGTTCAATAAAATATATATCATTAAATTTCTTTTGCAACTAGCATTAATTGAGTTCAATAAAATATATATCATTAAATTTCTTTTGCTTGCCAAACGGTGAATGTATTCTTAAGTTCTTAGAATTTTTCATATTAAAACTGATCTCTTGATATGAAATTAAAACTACGGTATATAATAAGCGTAATCCTCCTTATATGTAAGTGAGAATATCAAATAGACCATAATTCACTAATTAGCTTATTTCTATAAAAAAGAATGGTATTAATAGATCATACATAATAAAAGACAAGGAATGATAAAACACAATAATTTTTTTTTTTTTTTTTTGGAAAAACACCAAAAAAAAAAAAAAAAAATCAACAACTCAGAATAGACTAGATCAGTCATAGCACATGGAGAATCCCAATCCTACAAAAAAAAAAAAAAAAAAAAAAATCAACAAACTCTAGAATAGACTAGATCAGTATAGCACAATGGAGAATCCAATCCTACAAGGGAAGTCCATTTGATAGCACATGAAACTTCAAAAAGAAACCAAAGAATGACGTGTAGAATTGTTTACTCCATACTGAAGCATCGTTGCATCCTAAAAGCCACGTAGATTGTTAGGTATGAGGACAGTTGAGATGATTATTAGACCCTTGAAAGAGATATGTTGTTATATAATACAGTCTCACAAGTTCATTTTTATATGATTTTATTACCCATTAAATTTAAAATTTTGACTTATCTTAATATAAAGATGTTAATAGTATATTGTGCTCTTTTTTTTTCAATTAGTTAAATAGGAAAAATATGAAATTAATTTGCTTAGATAAGTTTCATGGAGCTACCGATTCACTAAACCGATGTAAATAGAAATTAATTTTTAACTATACACTGATAAAAAAGAATAAATAAAAAAATTTTTATTTTCATTGGTTTGATCCATAGGTAGAATAATAAATTCAGTCTAGAGAAATATAAAAAGACATAATATATACGAGTTAAAGACACAACAAGAGCTCATTCACAAAATAATAGTAATTTTTTAAGGGTTTGCTAGTCCATATAATTCATACACATTCTTTTCACAACCGACATAGGATCCGAAGGATTAACTTTTTTTTGGTGTGTTTATTCCAATATAATTTTAAATTTGACGATTGATAAAATCGTTTATAAAAGGTTGATTTTCATTTATAATAAATGAATCAAATAATAAAATACACTTTAGTTTAGTAAATCACCTCTTTAAAATTAAAGATTCGATCTATGGAAAATAACACTCATAAAAATACACAACTATGAATTTCAGAACAAAATTAGTAACGTATATATCCAAAAGAATACGGAAATACTTGTTCTAAATTCTATATAATAAACCCCACATAATAAATTCATCAAGTACCTCTCATACATGTCTATATAATAAACCCCACATTTCCATTTCTCCAGTCATTCCAACCTTTAGATTTCAGAAATTTCAGTTCAGAAATTTCTCTAAAAAAAATGTATGATCATCCAATCAACCAAGCCAATGAAAATAACCCATTTGGTGATTTCACAACAGAAGAATTCTACAAAAAGCACAAGATTCTCCACCACCAATCTTTCATGCTAAACAAAAAGAAAATGAAAATCTTTACTCAATCCTGGGTTCTTGATTCCACTAACCCTAAAGGTTTAGTAGCCATGATTCATGGTTACTCTTCTGAAAGTAGCTGGGTCAATGAACTTACTGCAATTGCCATAGCCAAATTAGGGTTTCTGGTTTTTGCTCTTGATCTTCAAGGACATGGCCGGTCCGACGGCTTACCGGGTCACATCCCAAATATTCAGTACCTCGTCAATGATTGTATTCAGTATTTTGACTCTGTCAAAGCAGAATATCCAAAGGTTCCTGCGTTTCTATATGGAGAATCATTAGGAGGTGCCATTTCAATTCTTGTTTATTTAAAACAAAGATACGAATGGAATGGTTTGATTTTAAATGGGTCTATGTGTGGTATTTCAGCTAAATTTAAACCAATTTGGCCATTAGAGAAATTACTTCCTGTTGCTGCTCTATTTGCACCAAGTTGGAAAGGTGTTGTCTCAAAGTCTGTGGGTAGTAAATCTTATAAAGAGGAATGGAAGAGAAAGCTAATGGCGAAAAACCCTAATCGTAGGCCGACAGGGAAACCACCGGCGGCGACTGCATTGGAGCTTCTAAGGGTTTGTGAGTTTATAAGAAATCATTGTCATGAACTAGACGTTCCCTTATTGATTGTGCATGGAGGAGATGACATGGTGTGTGACTTTGATTCAGCTAGGTTTGTGTATGAGTCAGCTACCAGCAAGGATAAGACATTGAAGATCTTTCCTGGTATGTGGCATGTTTTGATTGGTGAACCCAAAGAAAATGTTCAAGTTGTGTTTGATACCATCTTATCTTGGCTTGAAAACCATGACACTAGAACAAGCCATAAAGGAAGTAATTAATTATGTCGGTAGCACGATTAAAATAATGAGATTGACTTACCTAAATTGGCTTGATGTTAATAATAATTATTTGTGATATATTTAAGCATAAAATAATATAAGATATTTATAGTAATTTGTTAACCGACTTGATAAATTACTATTAATCTTACGTGGTGAACTAAATTCTTTATACTTAATTCAAGTTCATTCACAGAGTGGATGCTTTTATAAAAAATGTGTAAACCAATTTTTTTTTTTTTTTTTTTTTTTTTTTTCATTTTTTTTTTTTTTTTTTTTTTTTTTTGAAAAGAGTTGTAATCCATTTTTATTTTTATGTACTTGATCCAAAATAAGTATATGGATCTTTTAAGTGTGAAATTCTTATTTCAATGTGATTGCAAATTATGAATGTACTCGAGAATTTTAACTCAATACACAGTTGGATCAGAGAATTTTAACTCAATACACAGTTGGATCAGAGGAAGTAAAACCAGATATAATTAAATTGAAGTTATTTAATAAGATATTGACCTAATAATATAAATTTAAATATTTAATTTATATAATACAAGATATTTTTAAAAATCTCAAATAGAAAAGAAAAGATACAATATCCATTAATTTATTGCTAGCCCAACGACATCATGCTTAAGTTTTGCTGAGTAATTAATAATTATGTGCCAAAAAAGAAAATATAAATGATCCAACCAACTGTATGGCTATTTTTCTAGCCATGTGGTCTAAATTTCATGGCATGAATTTTCCCCATGCTATAAAATATAATTGCAGTACAAAGCAATCAGGCAGATAGAGAAAAACGGAAGAAAAGAGGAAAATATAACAATTTAAAAAATTTTAAAAGATAATTATTGGTTTTTTAATATCAGTGTCAATAAATGAAAATATTTTGAAGAAAATTCATTGGAAAATAATCTATTTATATGATTTGAATTATTATATAATATTAGCTTAATATTATTAATATTTGATAAACAATACTACTTAAAAAGAAATAATCCTCATGCTTTTTGGGCCCAAGAGAAAACCAAATATGTCTTCATTAACAAGTTGCCATTAAGAGCCCAAATAAAATATGTTTTGGTGTTTTCCTGGGCCAGCAGCCCAGATCTCTTTTTTTTTTTTTTTTTTTTTTGGAGAGGACTAACCCCCAATTAACGTACTCAAATCTTTTTTTTTTTTTTTTTTTTTTTGGAATACAGAGGAGGGACTTAACCCAATTAACGTATCAATCTAGGCCACACAGCACCCTCAACGTCAGCTTCCAAGGCCTCACGAGCATCCACAGGTGGAACTTGAAGGACATGCAACCCTCGAGACAAGACAAGAGCTCCATTAGCAAGCACATCAGCCACCCTATTCGCCTCACGAAAGATCTCACCAACCTAACCTGCCATGGCTTTCGGAGAAACTGCACAAACCCTCGAACCAGATTTCTGTACCGGAGGGCACTCATCGCACCATGCCTAAGGATGTCCACAACTGCATGGTTATCAACCTGCAGCTCCAAGAAGTCCCATTCATGCTCCCAAGCTATCTGCAAGGCATAGTACACACCCCAAAGCTCAGCTTCCAAAGTTGAGCAAGACCCAGTGCGAGCTGAAAACCCCAACAACCACTCAGCAGCCCAAATCTCCTTTATGGATTAATAATTTTTAATTTGCAAATAAATATCTTATAAAGCAAAGTATTATCCTTCCCAAGTAAAAAAAAAACACACGTACACACAATAATTGCGTCTTTACCTTATATTACTATAAAATTAATAGAAAAAGGTTGTATTTTAAGAATCAATTTGAAAAAAATTAGTAAAAATTACTATTTGCGTCTTTACCTGGATTTTTTTTTTTAAATTTTAAGACATTAAGTAAATGCATTTAAATAGTAAAAATAAAAAACATGAGCTATTGCGATCAATTTTAATTAACTATAATAACATGTTCAAAATTAATTGTAGTATTTTTGCTAATTATGTGTGATTTTGATTGATATTTCTATCTATCGTAGAAGAAGTAGAAAGTAAGAAGTCTCGAATTCAAGTTATATTTATCACAAAGGTTATAATCAATTTGGCGAATGTTATTTAAATGAAAAGGCTGCCTTGTTGTATTTCATTTTGTCTAGATTTTAGTTAAACTTGAGTTTTCCCTTTCAGAAAATGTGGTTAGTGATTTGGAACCATAGAGAAAATTATTTAAATGACAAGTAATTCTTTAGTTTTACAGCAGAAAGTTTTCCTGTCATTCAAACGACATGAAATCATTTCCTTTTAGTAGAGAAATTTGTTTCTGGTCATTCCAACCATTGGGCATATTCTTTTCCTTCAGAATGGAAAGTTTATCGTTGGAATTTTCTTCTGTTCTTTATTTTATTTTAAAGAAGAGATATAGAGGATATATAGGGAATTAGGGATGGATGACCAAGGGACGGTTTTTTGCTGTCCACCAAATTTCAATTTCAAATGAAAAATTAAATACATATTGAACTTAAGATAGTAATATAATTTGAATTTAATATTTTATTAGAATTAAAATAAATTAAACCCCACATTCAAAACGTTTAATATAATCAAATCTCAAACAAATCAATAATCGAAAAAAATATTAAAAGTTTAAACGATTAGAATTTTCAAATTGTCTTTTAAACGACTTGGATTTTCAAATTTGTCTTTCGTTCATACTTATCCTTTTTATAGTTTTTAGTCCAATTTATTTAACTTGAGTTCAGATATTCTTTAAATAAGTTTAAGATAGGTATTCTTGTCAAAAAAATAAGTTTAAAATAGGTACAAGTATTAAAATATTTAAACAAGTTTGGGTATGTGCCCATTTTCATCCTTAACCATGGCTCGATTTCAAATTAAATTAAACTGATCAAAATTAATATCAAATAATAGCGAATGATTTTTGGCGTTTAAAACGTAATTGAAACCGTATGTCTAGGATTTGATTTTGATTTCTATTTTTTAAAACCAAAATCAGCAATTTCAATTTCAAATCAATAATTCTAGTTTCCAACCATAAAAAAAAATATTATCTAAGGAACTTCCAATTTATTTCTCATTTTATTATAATTTTTAAAATAAATTTAAATATTTTTATTAAATTAGTTCGGGCATGCTATAACTAAAAAATTTTACAAAAACAATTGAAAAAAATTACTATTTAATTTCATTCTAAATAGGAACCAACTATACTAAAATCGCCTAAGAGCAATTCAATTGGAGTTCACTTTTCTTTGAAATACAACTAACAATTTTAAAATCAAAACCGGCAATTTTGCAGCCATGTCATGCCTAAAGATATACATTTGGCTTTTAAACCGACAATTAAGTAGTTCGCGGTCCTTGATGGATTATATGGGTTATCTTTATGATTCACAAATTGAGTTGTGTCACAAGTCCGCTAAGTAAACCCAATCAATTTAATCCTTAAATAATATTAAGTACACATGTTAGATTATAAGTTAATTTAATTTGGTTTATAATTTTAAATATAAATATTAAATTATTTACATGTTCAGCAGGTCTTACCTTTTAAATTTTTTTTTTCCTTTAGTAAAAAATTGTTTTGATTGCTATAGAACATATAGTAGTTTAAAAACTAATATATAACTATATCCTATATTACGAAGCACTTAGATTTTGTTGGTCCTATTTCTTATTAAGAAATTTAAAATTTTCATTGTTTTTACTTCCTCTTATTATTTTTAAGAAACATGTTTTGAAATGTTGTGGTTTGTGAAAATTGTTGTATAATTATGTCTTTTAAGTATTTTGTTGGATATTCCTCTTAAAAGAGTTGTATTTTGTTTAAAATTATTTCTATTATTTGTCATTTATTTGATCTGCATGTTTATATTAGACGGTATCTAACTCAGTCTATTCATAATCCGCTGGTTCATATATTTAATAAGTTGAGTTGGATCAAAATATTATCGAGCCGCACATATAAATTGTGTACTTTAAATCTACAGATTCCTAAGTGTGTATGTACATGAATTTATATTTTTATATAATAGCATAATTCATATCAAGATTTCATTTGTTTCTAAAAAGTAATTTATTTTTTCAAAAAATTTAATAAAATATTTCTCAAAATATTCATTTTTCTATTATTTTGTTGCAATATTAATTTATAATGTATAAAAATATCTGAAATTAAAAATTTTATATATTTAAAAATTTGTTATTAAATATAAAAGCATACAAAACTAATAAATTCTGATAACAATGATTAATGATAATGACCAATGGCTGATTAGTATTGATTATGGTAATTAATAATAATGACTATCGAATGAACCGTCTAAAGAAGAAGAAAGATGGTCTTAAATCAATCCCTTCCTATGTCCTGACCGAAAAGAAAAATGAAATTGACTATTATGGGTGCCTGCTTTTCTACAATCGATTGATTAATAAGACTTTTCATAATTTTTTAAATTATTATAATTTTATTAAATTTCAGAAAATGTTTTCCTTTCTTAGAAAGAAAAGTCATTTTCCTTCAAAATAACTTAATTTTTTTAATAGAAATATATTTTTCTTTGGCTAATTTCTCAAAGCAATTCAAATGTCAAAAATTTGAAAAAGAAATGGAGACTTATTTATTTCGCTTTGCGTTATCTTATTGATTTAATGTAGTCTCATTTTTTAAATTTATTGAGAGGTCTAATAGTCGAGGTAATACTGAAGGCTACACAACAAGATTAACTTTTCCCTTGACTCACCATATTAGTGAAAATTATTATTTGAACTCGAGACCTTCCACTCCTCACATAACTGAAAAGATTAATAAAATCAAATCAGATCGACTAATAAAACCTCATATTTGAATGTATACAAGGACGAATTCAACAGTAGGCAAGGGGGCCAATTGGCCTCTCTGAAATTTAAAAAAAAAATTAATATTTAATTTTTTTGGTAAAATGCATAAATTATTCGCTAAATTTATAGGGTTTACTCATTATGCCCTTATATTTTTATTTATCAATTTTAAACTATATAAATTTAATTTTGGTAAACAATTGGCATTTTCTAATGGAAATTTAACGGCATTGACTCAAAAAATAACCCAATTATAAATTTACATGTGAAAATTATTTTTTTGATAAGCGAAAATTTTAATTTTGACATATAGAATAATAAATCGGAAAGAAAAGAAATAAACAAGGAAAATGTTATAAAAATTTATTTAATAAATTTTAGACTCCAACTTTTTCAATATTTACCTTCCAAAATTTTCTCAACAATAAAACACGTTGTGAAGTGTATATGAAACGTTTTTGTAATTAAGGTCTTTAATTTTTATCGTATTAACAGCAAAAACTTTTAAATGAATAGAAGATTACAAATTTTTCAATAGATTTTTATATTTTTCTCTAATAATATTCTTCAATTTATAACTGGGCCCCGTAACCAATTTTCTAGATACGTTCTTGAATATATATATATATATATATTACCAATTTTATTCATAATAAAAAAAAATTGGTTATTAAATTAAATTAAGTTTATATAAAAAATATATATATTACCATTTTCTGAATGTATATATATAAATTAAATATAAATAAAAAATTTTAAAACAAGCAGAGAATGTGGTGACCTTGAGTGAGAAATATTCTTTGGTTGTTAGGAGGGAAGGTTAGTCTTTTTCTTAACGAACTGTCATTCTATGAAAGGTTGATTTAGGCAGGTATGTGTGAGCATCAGTTCAGTACAAAATTGATCAATAACCATACCAAGTCTATTTATTTATTTATTTATTTTAAAGTTGGAAATTTATTAAATAAATATATGTGTGATTATTTTTGTCATCAAATGCCTTATAATATTTTACTTATTTTAGTTCTTCACAGTCAATATTTAATATCTTATATTCATTATAAATTACATTTAGTCCCTTGCTTATCAGTAAAATAGCACTTTTAAATACCTTACGGGTTGTGGTTAATTGGCAGCAGACTGGACATGTAGGAAGAGATCTCGGGTTTGATTGTCACTAAACGTACTTGCAGAGAGGGCGAGAGGCCTTAACTATAACTAAATCTGAAGCCGGATTAGGTGGTCCCTGGAGTCCAGATACCTATAGTTTAAACAAAAAAATAATTTGAAATGGAGGAATTAAATATTAATTTGCTATTCTTAGTTTGCCAATAGAAATTGAAAACCCTTTATTTTTTTAATTAAATTTGATAAAAAATATCTTGCAAATCAATCTAATATATACATTTTTAATAAATAAATAAATTTCTTTTAGTATTATATTATAAAATAATTGTTTGACTATTAAATTAAAATTAAACTAAGATTTATAAATTAAATTTTCAGCTCTAGCAATTTAATCAAAGTGTAAACTTTCTTTAAAAAGAAGTTAATGATATCAAAATCACAAATTACAAAGTAGAAAGCAAGGCCATTCATATAATCATTTAAGGGCCACATATAATACCCCACAACTTACTTACCTTAGCTTAAAAGAAAAAAAGATCCACAGAAAACAATTCACTTCGAATCTAATACTTTACCTTTTTAAATTAAAATAAATAAAGTGAAAAAACAATAAAAGAATTATTCCTATTATAGTATTATTAACAAGAGACAAAAAAAAAAAAATCTAAAGTTAATGATCAAGAATTTAATAAAGTAATATAAAACATTAAATCCACATATATAATTATGATCAAGAATTTAATTAAACTTTTGAACTTATTAATTTTATCAATTAAATTCCAAAATATTTAAAAAGAAAAGAAAAAAAAAAAGTTTATATTTGGTGCTTTTATTATTTGAGTTGCTTTTATAACCAGACAAAGCAACAAGCGGCGATCAATAGACTTCTTGTGAGGCTTTGTCTCCGACAAGAATTCACGCGTTTTCTGTTTTTTCAAACCCCGAAACTCTTTCTAGCGCTGTATTAGTCAAGTCTCCAAGCAGACAAATACAGACCAAACGCCACCGTTTTCTACATACAAAATGATTAACCGACAATAAATCCAAACCAACAAACAGAAGGTTCACAATTCCAACGGGTACTTAACATCAGCTTGCTTCAGACTTCAGAGCCAGCCTCTATGCCTGACATGTAATCAATCTTTCTCCAGCGAACCGACATAGTTTAGCGTCTCTGAGAAGAGAGAATGGAAATGGCTTCTTATTTTCCGGTGATCGCGATCATGATCATGATTTTAGGAGGTTCAAAAGGTAGAGAACTCCGGCCGTCGTACCACGGGCTGGATTACCAAAGTACGCCGCCATCAGGGGAGAAATTGCCGCCGGAAGTGAAGGAATTCTTTGGATCATCATCAGCGCCAACTTCCAAGTCATCATCTAACGTGGCATTGCCGAAAGCAATGAATTCTAATGACACGGCGTGGTGGAACCGTGTCGCCGGTGAAAATGGCGGGAGTAAAGGCGGAGATCGGTTGAGGCACGTGCTGTTGGTGGCTAGCCTTGCGTGCGGCGTCACAGGTGCGGCGTTGCTAGTGGCTTCTGCTTTCATATATTTTGTTAAGCATAAAAAAAGGCAAACGCCACCGTCCATAGAGAATAATACTAACAAAGCCATAGTTATCCAGTAAGTAAAGTAGCTGTTCTTTTTATTTTTTAAAAACTTCTTTTTATTTTTTAATTTGTTTTTCTTTTTCTTTTTTATTTTTATTTTTTTTTAAATATGAACTTGACATTTGTTGTATATGTTTGAAGCAATTGATTTGATCTCTTGGCTTGATTGCAACAGTAGCTGTAGTTTCTTTTCTGTTACTTTATTTTAATTATTATTTATTATAATTGAAAAACAAAAGGATATCAGTATTATTGCAATAATGACACAAAAATTAATACGCTAATGGATGTTGATTGAAGACATAAGTAATTTGAAGTTGTAAGGTTCTCTTACATTACATTAATTAAAAAGCATTATACAGAAGGTACTGGCTTTCTTTGTCGGATGGTATTTGTTTGATTACAGCTCAACCATTTGGGTTTGGTTGTGGATGATTGGATTTAGGCTTGGCCACGGTTCCGGAACCGGCGGTTCCGGTTCCAGATTTTCTGGAACCGGGATTTTTTTCTGGAACCGGACCGAAACCGTAAACAGGGACCCGGTTTCCGGTTCCGGTTTGGAACCGTCCGGTTTCCCCGGTTCCGGTTTTCGTTCGATCCGATTACATAAACCGATGGTTCCGAATCGGTTTCCGGCGAATCGCATAATTTTAACATTTTTAAAATTTTGAAAACCGGTTTTTAAAAAAATTTTTTTTTTTGAACATAAAAAAATTGAAAATACACCTAAAAATTTAAAAAAAATTTCTTTTTTGAACAATAAAAAATTGAAAAATCACCTAAAAAATTTTTAAAATTCTTTGAAGAACGGTGTAAAAAAAAATTAATTCAACATAAAATTTTAAAAATAGAATAAAAAAATTTAAATTTTGAAAGACGGGTTAAAAAAAATTTTTGGAACATAAAAAAAATTAAAAAATACACTTAAAAAATTTAAAATTAACTTGAAATTCATTTATTTTTTTAAAAGACTTAACAGTTGAACATAAATTCTTTTTTTTACAATTTCAACTGAATTTTTTTAATGTTTGAACCTAATAAAAAAAAAAATGGGCTTGACTTAATTTTTTTTAATTTTGAAAAAAAATTAGTTGGCCTACGTATCCTCTTGGGGGTTTAGGAGAATCACAAGCCCACGTAGTTCTATACTTACCTTATACACATTTCACCCCTTTTCCTTATTCGCTATTTGCACCCACCGGTTTGAATGCTTCCCGTTGAAAGGACCCATATTATAAATCATATAAATCTCATTTTTCTTTGGATTTTTCTTGGCTCAAGCTCTTATTCGCCTTGGTCCAATCATCCACGCATGCTTTGTGCTTCTAATGCAATCGGTGTCATAGAAAGCGTGTTTCATCAAGTATGGTTTCCTCCTTGACTAAAAGCTGTGTTCAACCGCAACAGTGAGACCGGAGCTGCTAAAATTTTTGTTTTGCAAGTCAAAGAAAGAATTTTATGAAAAGTAATTTTCGTGACGACTCGCACCATCTAAGTTGCAAAATCCGTTCTGCATAATCATCACCAACTCAAAAGAGTTTGTTTAGATATTTAATCAAATTCAGAAAATACGAACTGGATTCTCCTTTGTCTTTTTTGTCTTTGTAGTAAAACATATTTTTGTTTGTTGAGCAATGCAACACTCACTTACCCTTTGTGTTTGGAAATTGTTGAATATTACGGTAGATGAACTAGAAACTTGAACAAATTCATTATATAATTGCATAATATTTTGTTTAACTTCATGCATTACTACATTTATATTAACATTATCTTCTACTACATTTATATTAACATTATCTTCTACATCAAGATTCAATACTTCATAATAAATAGTCAAATAATCACATAAAACATCCATTCTACATCTAGGATCAAATATAATAGCAACAAGATAAAGGGGTGCTATATTTTTAAAATAAGATAACCATTTTTTTTTCATTGAAAAAATACAATCTTTTAATAAATCATCATTTTGAAATTCTTGGAGTGCATTAACAATATTAATACACAGGTAAAAATAAATGAGATGTGGGATAATAAACCCCACTAAATTTATAGGTAGCATCATTAAAAATTTTTAAAATATCTAAAATTTTTGTACAAATCAAACATCCCAATTTTGTGGATATAAATTAAAATCCCCTCAATATTATTAGTAACAAAAAAAGCATAATAATTCTTTATAAGAAAAAGACTCCGTTTAGTAATTTCATATGTTGAATTCAACGAGTTTGGGACATCGCCTTGGAAAACGTTTTGTCTTTATTATTTTCTTTACAAAATTAAGCCCAATTTTTTTCATCACTTGGGGGATGGTGTCCTAAATATGAAATAGCTTTTTAATTGGAGAAATAAAGAATCCAAGAAATTTTAAACGCTTCTTGGTACACATAACTTTAAAACATGGCATGCACATCCTATATGAAAAAAATTTTTACACCAAATAATTTGGTTCACAAATTTTTTTAAAGTTTCAATAATTGAATCTAGTATTTTGCAGAAGCATTATCAATGAAATTGACAAAAAATTTTTTTTTGCAACTTCTCATTTCACTAAAATTGAAAACAATTACTCTATAAATAATTATTTTGCAGTAATGTATCATCAAAACAACGAAACCAATAATTCTTTTTTTGAATTTTCCATTCATCATCAATTCCAATGACATGTATACCATGTAAGAAGCATTTGCCAATGATCACTCCAAACCTCACAACAAATTGAAACACGAATTTTCAATGAGAAAAGATAAAATCTCTAACTCTTTTTTTCCTTTATTATATAAAGAAAATAATATCGTTTTTACAGTATTTCCTCTCGGTACTCTTTTAAGCACAAGGAATTTAAAGCTTTTTGACAATATTATTAACCACCTACTTTTCACCAAAACTAAAAGATAAATGTTTCATAGGAAATCATTTTTGGCTAATTCCTTCTTCTTTTGTATTTTATCAGAATATTTAAATAAAAGAAAGGTTAAGAAGCATAACCGGAAATTTGTTGTTGAAGACCGATCAAACTCCTATTTTTTGTTGATGTTTTGGTCCCTCCAAATGCTCCAAAATGAATCCATAGCGCCCGCTTTTTTAAATATAAGATTTTTCCACAATAATTGCAAATTACATCGTACATTTTTTCTCACCTTTGACTTTTTTTGTGAATGAATGGAGAATAGTCGGAACTTTGTCTTGCTCTTGTAAAAATTTTTGGCTCGTATGCTCTTGCTCTTGTCTTCATCCTTCTTGAAATTGCTGCATTAAATTCGGATTCTTAGTTGGAATATCCAAACTTTCATTTGGAAAACCCTCAAAATTAAATTGCTCCGGCGAATTATATTATAGAGTGTCGTTGTAGGAACTAGAAACCTACTTTTTCACCAAAACTAAAAGATAAATGTTCCATAGAAATCATTTTTGCTAATTCTTCTTTTTGTATTTTTTCAGAATATATAAATAAAGAAGGTTAGAAGCGTACCCGAAAATTTGCATGGTAAGAATATAGAGTAGAGTAGAGAAGAATAAATGATTAATATAGAGTAGAGTGTAGTATATGGTAGAGAGAGTAAGTAGAGAGTGTAGTATATTGTAGAGAGAGTTGAGATGTTTTTGTAATGAATTTGTAAATAAAATGAGGTATTTATAATAAATCCAAAAATTCATTTTTCTAAAAATACCCTTGAAACTAGCCGTTATGTAGCCGTAAAAGCCGTTATGACTAGCCGTTATAGCCGTTGGGAGGGGTAAATTAAGAAGATTTTCCAACAGAATTTAAAAAAAAAAAAAAAAAATTCAAATCTGACAGTTAAACGCTAGAACCGCCGGTTCGAACCGCGGTTCTAACGGCCGGAGACGCGGGCGGTTTCAACCGGTTCCGGACTCGGGTTCTAGAACCGCCGGTCCTGGTTCTAAGAATATCTGGAACCGGAACCGAACCGGAATCTTCCGGTTCCGGTTGCCGGTTCGCCGGTTCCGGTTCGTCCCGGTTCCGGTTCGCACCGGTTCCGGTTCCGATTCGGAACCGGTTCGAACCGGCGGTTCCGGTTCCATGAACCGTGATTTGGCCATGCCTAATTGGATTAGACTATCTACTCATATAATAATTGCATGTATTAACGAATTAGAGGTTTCTTATCTTAAATGGCAAGACTTTCAAAAAGCCTGTGGATATTTGTTATATCATTTCATGTGTGTGTGACCCTACCAATCCAAGAAAAATATGAGTTTCAATTCCATAGTAGGGTCGGAAATTCTCATTTCTTTAGATGAGGCAAAAATCCCCTTTTTGTTTTTTCTATTATTAGGAGAACTGCTGTATCGAAATAATACTACGGGTTATATAACAGGAGTAGTCATTTTCTGGATTCACTAAATTGGTGAAAACACTTGTGTTTGATAGAATTTCTCTCCTATTAAATATGGCATGAATATTGACCGGGTCAAGAAATATGTGGATGGATTACGTGTTCAATTGACGGATCAATGATTCAATTAGCATAACAAAAAAATCAAACCCACTCATACTAACCCAGTTCAATCCAAGTGATCCGATCCAATCCTATAAGCTTCAAAATATAATGGATTAGATTTGTGATCCCATCCAATCCTATAAGCTTCAAAATATAATGGATTAGATTTATAATTCACGGGTTGGATTGAGTCATATGTTCACTAAATAAACCTGCAAGCTCAACCCAACTTATAAATTATATATACACACGCACTTATAAATTATTTCATAATTTAATTTGAATTATAATTTTGAAAATATATTAAACCTTTCTCTTTTACATATATATAATACTATATATATATATAATATTAGAAAATATGTAATTAAAAATTCTCTTTTGAACTTTATTTCTTAGCTACTTGTTAATTCATATGCATATTTTTAAAAATATAGTTATACCATACTAAAATTTAAACTTTATTTGTATTATTATAAACCATTATATTAGAAAATATGTAATTAAAAATTCCTCTTTTGAACTTTATTTATTAGCTATGTATTCCATATGCATATTTTTAAATTATAGTTATACCATACTAAATTTTAAAATTTATTTGTATTATTATACCATTTAAAAAATTATTCCTTTTATAAGTCTAATTTTACTCCAGTGATTGCCTTTGTTTTTTCTCATTTATAAGAGATTAAATGGATTAAAATAATATCGTGGATTAATATAGTAAGAGTAGCCTCTTTTTAATTAATATTTCTTAAATTAATAATAATTTTTACGGTAAAAAATACAATTTCAAATTATATAATTTTACAATTAAAAAAATTTTTGCTTCTATGGATCCCTTTATTAAGATATAAATGTATCAACCTAATGCATTATACCTAATAAATGCAAAAATACTAATGAGTGGTTATGGGATGATTGACTTTTTGAAAAGTAAAATAATGAATACCCACTTGTGGATATTATGCTACTACATTTATTGATTATTATTATTGTATTGTATAAGATCCTTTTAGATTCTTAGATCAGAAGCCTATTTAATCATTCATTTCTTCAATTAGGATAACCCAATTAATGTTGACATCTCAGCAATTATTGTCATTTGCATAACACCATTATTATCAAGAATGGAAGAGATGGACCAACAGATGTTGATTGCGACGATAGGTGTGATAACATAAATTCAATTTCAGAATAACGCACTTTGCTAGAAAAATAAAAATTTTGCTCATTCTACTGTTATACAAAAATAATAATAAAAAAAAAAAGAGATGCATCCACCAAATGAAATAGAGCTTTCACCTTTTCTTTTCAATGATTCCACTTTTTCTTTTACATGACATAAAATGAAAACTTGGGTTTTGAGCAAACCCTAGCTTAGAAAGGCAAAACTATATAAGATAATATGCAATTCTCTTATGTTTGTTATTTTCCTCTCTTATTTAGATGAGAGGAAAATATTTATAATTTTTTGTATTTTGAAAGCTAGAATTATACCTTTTAAAATTATGGTCAGTTCGGTTCGAAACTGAATAGAATGAAATAACAATTTTGGTTTTGACTATATTATGATGGTTTTTAATTGGCTGCCTCTCAATTCAAATATCTTATTTATAAATTTTTCAATTTGGTTGAACCAGTTTTAAATCATGGGTTGGAAGGAGAGCAAGTCTAATTCTTACAATCAAAGAACTAGAATCGAATCATAGCTTATCCATCAAAATTTCTACCTGGACATCTAATTGAACCATAGTTGAGTTTACCTTCACTTAGTATAATAAATTGTAAATGAATCCACGGTAAAAAAAATTTTTATATTTGATAAGCCGTAATGCAATTTTATTTTTTTACCGTTATGTTTGGTAAGCCCTAATGTAATGCGATGTAACGGATTACTAATTAAATTAAAAAGTAATCTTTTTATGCCAAACAGGCCGAATGTTTTATAAAATTTGATATTTCCCAAATTCAGACCCCGTGAATAGGTCTAAGAATGCCTAATCAAACCCATTTATCAAAAGAATTTCATAATCAGGATGAAGCTTAACTGAGTTTAAAAGGAAATTAAAAAAAAAAAAGACTATTACTCTCTAAAATTTAAATTTCAACTGTAGTTTCATAAATTATTATAGTCACTGATTTATGCGTACAACTAGTCAATCCTTGTGTTACAGAAAATAGACTAAAATTTACTTATTGTTTACTTCCGTCAGACTACGAGGTCCTCTCGTTCAATTTTTATATCTTTTCCGTTAAGTGTCATATAAAATGACGAAAGTAACCCTTTTATCTTCTCACTTCCGGTATATTTTAAAAAATACAGAGAAAAATTAGTTGTATTCTCAAACTATAAGGACCATATTATAATTTTTTCTAGTATAACATTTTAATATCTCTCATATGACCTCTGTGTTTTCTTATTGACTTAATGGAAAAAACAAAAAAAAATAGATATAAGGACCTAGTAGTGTAGCAGAAGCAAAATATAGGAATAAATTGATATATTTTAAAAGATATAGGGACAAACTAGTTGTATTTAACAAATTACAAGGATCATATACTGTAAATTTTTCCATTTATTAATATTAAAGCTCTGGGTTTCTTTTATCATTAGGCCAAAAAAAGGGAGAAAAAAGGAGAGATAGATTAAAACTAACAAATGAATGAATAAAATTGAAAGAAGAAGACAAGTATATATTGATTAACTCAGTCAAGTATTACAGATTCTTATTAATGAAGAATGATGAACAATAGTAGTATGTACCTATTGGTTAAGAGGCAGCCACTCGAGTTCTAGTTCTAGTTCCCCAGATTCAACATTCTGGAGCTTGAGTGATACCGCCTGCTTCACCGTTCCGTCGACAATATTAATAGTGCTATCATCTATAAGGGCATTGTCATGTGATTTCAGCCATTTTCCTATCTGCATATTTCCAAACATTTCTGGGTCCCCAAAGGCCATTGCTGACGTTATCAACGGCTGGATATCAAGCTCTGCTTCTCCCATTATGTCATCTGCTGAAAATGTGTCGTGATCAAAAACTTGCTGCAACATGTGAAATGAAAAATCAGAGATATAATAATGTAGGCCCAGGTATTAAAGAACCTTAACTTCAAGGTGGTTTCAATTTAAGTCTAACCATATCAATTCAAACTATAAAGTTACATCGGTTTCAAACGAAACCAAATTCCAGCCTAAATAATGAAAGCTGCAAGTTGTCTTATATCACATGTTGTACAATTTGCTCAGTAAGTCTCATAGGATCCATTTGGCATTATTAATTTGAACTGCTGTCTATATTGATGTTGAAAATGTTGATTAAATGTTGTTAAAGTCCGTGTTTAAGGTAAGTTTCGAAGATTCTAAGTACAGAAATTTTCAAAATGCTAATTAATGCCTATCCAACATCATTGTATGGAACAAATTCAATTCAGAAGTATTTAACCTGTTGATGCAGCACAAAATAAGAAATTCAATGACTGTGTTTGTTAGCTTGGATTTTCTTATAAATTTGGTTGTTTAGGGTTTAATATGGTTTAACAGCCAGATGCTTTAGTTCTTGTAGAATTCGACAGATTAGCTATTGAATAAAAGTTACTCTAGATGATAAAACCTGAAGTTCTACATCAACTAAGTGACTGTATTCATCATCAATAAAGCAGTCAAAGAGCCTTATTCTTAGAACTCCATATCTGTAATTGAATATGAGGAATTAGCTATTTGTGGCATCATAAAAAGGATAAACAAGCTTACCAATTTTACAGGCCCAAAATCCTGTGGAACTGACAGCATTAGTGTCTCATTCCAAGTTGGATTCAAGTTGCTTTGCATTACAGTTGTCTGGACTGTCTGATAACAAAAAAACCGACTTTGTCATAAGTATTAAGTACCATCAAAGATCAGATCCAGAGGTAACTTTTATCACTTGTTTAATGAGAACAAGAATTATCAATTACATCAATAAGAATTGAAACAGTAAAATATGTATGCCAACTTCAAACTAAGTTTTCACATGTGTTCCTCTACATCACAATAGTTCTATGAACTGCCATATGTTCAACCAATCTTTAGCAAACGTCTGATCATTAACTGTTAATCAAATTGGCATTGATGCCTGTGCATGCACAAAAGGGAAATTGGATAAAAGGAAATCCCACTCCAAATGCCAATAATCAGAATGAGTTTACAATTAAAAGATTAGTATTAACTCTGTATCAACCAAGGACTTTGAAAATAGAAGGAAGAAAAAAGTGATTAACCTGTTTCCCAAGAGTGAGGACCACATAGGGATCACTTGACATCATATCTCTGATAGCTAAATTTGTACCACTTTTAACTTTCACCTTCAATAATCCAATAGATTCCACATCCTCCTGCAAATTTCAGCATCAAATGGGCTATAGTTACTCAGATTATGGCACAACATATATAGTCAAACCAAATTCTGCCACTTTTTAATTATTAAAGCTCAATGACCAAAACTTAACTCTGCATGAATTATCATTTTTAGCTAATCTTTTCAATTTTTATCAACAATACTTCAACCTTTCAAATTTGTAAAAATATTAACAATCTCAATCAAATTGATAAAAACAATTAGTTTATGGCCCAATCAAGTAAAATATATTTAAATTTCTTTGTCCTTTTTCCAAAGGTTCTCCCCCATTCCTTTTTCTTCAGACATCCAAATACCGAATATAGATCCAAGGCCTTGACTGTAAACCTATCTCCAATCTTATAAATTCCTGATATGAATAGACTTGAGTTCCTTTGAAGTCAGTGAAGTTGTAAATTGGGTCTTCCTTGGTTACTCAAGTACATAAGGAATGACTGTCTGGAAAATCTCTATAGTATATCAAGTTCAAAGGTAACCTCTCTATTAAATAGTGAAGGGATAACTACACCATTCGTCTCTTATTTTTTAAAATTCGTCTCTAGTATTTAAACTTTATTTTGTTGCAATCAAGTGTCTCAATGGACAAATTTTTATTTTGATAGGGTATATTTTACTGACTTGCTGTTAGAATAGTAACAGGACCATTTTACCCATAACGTATGCTATCGCCTCCACCCTCCACACTATTCATCTCTGTCACTTCCTTCTTTTCTCTTGATACCACCTTATCACTCACTTTTCTTCTATACAAACTTTATTCACTCTCTTCTCAACCCTACCAACTCAAAACATTAAACCCCTTGTTTGGAAACTCAAGTTTTGCAATAACTCAATTCAGCAAATTCTATTTTGTCAATTCTCATGTATGGAAATGACTTGATGGTTGAATCCAATTCCTTCAATCTGAAAAATAAATGATTTCAAAGTGAATAGGAGTCTGTTAGATGTATGAAAACAGCACGGTTGTACAGGTTGGAGGCAAGTTTGTCTCCTCATCATCAACAATATGAGTCCATGATCTTCCAAGCATAGCGAGAAGCATGGAAATTATTTGTGATGTAAAGGAAAACTTACCGAGTCTTGTGATGTACTTGTACTTCGAAAACTATCCAAAATCTTCCTAGAAAAACTTGATTGAATAGAAATAGCAGGCTTTCCCGATGTTATCCGCAAGCTAGGTTTCAAAAATTCTTGAAGCTCATACTTAGACCTACATGAAAAATGAAAGTATGTAAGGGATTACCCAACAACCAAGGCATGATTAAATACTAACTACTCTGTTATCATTTACACAAGATCCAAGCTCCAAAAATGGTGACTTACTTTGACCATATGAGCGAACAAATGCATAAACATATAAATAATTAGAGTTGGTTATAGTTTTGAAGACCATTAGAAGGTATCAATAATTTAATGTTGATTTTCATACAGAAATCTGCAGCTAAATCTTTTCTGACCTTATGTATTTCCTTCGGTCTTCGTGATTAGCATCTGGTCTTGGCTTTGTAACTGTTTCAGGTATAAAGGCCTCATATATAGCATTAGCAGCAGAGTTTCCTCCAACTTCCATCATGGCATCAATTTCATCATCAGTCCACTCATCCAATGTCACAGATAAAACCTGAAAATTCCAAATTAACATTGCCACAAGTGATCACGATTAAACAGTTAAAAACTTGTCATGGACATTATTACACTGTAGAATATAGACAAAATACATGCACACAGACAAAAGAGAAGTTGTAAGCTTGGATAGGCATTAACTAAGATACTTTAACACATCGACCCACACAACTTAAGCACATAACTGATTTGGTGCTTTTCAATAGCTATCCAAAATAAAAAGTACAAGAGATATAGAACAAAAATTAAACAACTTATTTTATCTCCTAGGCCCAAATATGCTTCTGCTTGTTTTAACTGCTCGACGTCAGTAATCTTCTAAGATATGGAAGCTAATACAACCCACAATACAGATAATTCAACAATCAGTAGATCTTCCATAAGATGCAAACAACCACAAACTATAAATGCATAATGCACAACCGGTGATAGATAATATAACTGGAGGCACCATGTGAATGTTACCTTTGAGATATGTGAACCAAGGCCTCTGTGCACACCACAACATTTTAAGCATATAAAGACTCCAATGTTTGCAGACCTGAAGATAAGACAACCGAGTCCTCCATAACTTGATATGGTGTATAAATTAGACAATGTATACTTCTTGTTTTTTCATATCACTTTATTCATGTAATTATTTTGTAGGACAATATGCTCAAAATGTTACTTAGCAATTTGCTGGTAAGAAGTGGTGCAATTAAGAGGCTCAAGCGGAAGCATCACCTTTTTGTTCCCTTTCACATCTAAATGGCTGGGCTACATAAGAGTTTTAGCACTCTCTCGTCATGTTAAACCCCGTGCACCCACGTTATTAAAGGCTAACGTCAGCCAATAAAGCTTTCTCCACTAAAAGGAAACTATTCACAATCTTAAGTTATAAAGACAATGGACTTACGCCCATTTAGGATCTGGAGCAGCACAATCAGCACAGAAACGATTATCACTTTGTTGCAATAATTCTTTTAATCTTCTCCTACCTTCAAAGTGCAAGTCACAAAAATGTAGATAGTTACATAAAGTAATAAGAACATATCAGCCAATTGAACAGAAACTGAACAGAGCCTAATATTGCTTGAGGAATCACAAGAATGTCTGGTTCAAGCATACCTGAACGAGGCCTATGAATTTCTGATACGCGACTCATTTCTTTGATGGTCCAAAAATCATTCAACAAAGCTTGTCTCCACCGAGTTGTCTGCAGCTCAAAACATTCTGCGTATAAGAAAAAAATAATCAAATTAGCCTATAAAGGAGACCCATAGAGGACTAAGACTCCAAACCAAATTAAATTTAAAAAAAAAAAAAAGAAGAAAAAAAATGGAAATTATCACTTTGAACATGATATAACATGGGTCGAAAGAAAAGGGGGGAATTCCAATTATGAATAAGGAAAGAAAAAAAAACAAATGTGGGTATTAGTACATAAACCAAAAGATACAATCCCAAGTTAGTTACTTATATGATGGAGGAAGAATCACATGATTGTGCTGCTATTTTGGTAAACCCAAAGATGAAAAGCAGGAAAATTAACTAAGAATCAATCATTTTCGCTGTCCAGCATGGGGGAATACATAAATGAATCAAGAAATGCAAAAATTTCTCTCCTTTCTATTGTTTTTCTCAGCATCCAAACAATATGGGAAAGCAAAATATCAACTTTATAAATCGAAAATCAATGAGATTGGAAAATGTTTAATTGAAATTATTGTCAAATAATCACAAATTTTTTAGATTTAAATGCAAAACAGATTGTTAAATGCAATAAATAATCGGAATAAAAAGAAACAAAAAGCAATATAAAGGAGAAAAGATGATAAATTGAGTAAAACATGGAAAAATAAAGATCTAAATAAGAAGAAGAAGGAATTAGAATTCACCAGCGAATATTGTCAACAAATTGAAATCAGACTTCAAATCCAAATCCTTCAACCTTTCAAAAAAAAATCAAAATCCTTCTTTTTTTCCCCTCAACAGAGAGAGGAAGAGAAAGAAAGAGAGAAGGAGAGAGGGTTACAAGTTGGTCCTTGGTTCTACAATCTACAGGTGTACAGAGAGAGAGAAAATCTGTAAAGCTGCAACTTTTACAGGAGAATTATTGAATTGAGAGCCTTTATAATATGGTCATGGAGTTGAAAACTATGTGATTTTTCATAGTTTTTGCATTTATTTATTAAAAAATTTATATATTTTTTTTTGACTTTTTTTATTAAATTATGGCAGAATTATTACTTAACTCCTCTATTATCGTCAAGCTTTCTACTTTTTTTTTTTTTAATACAATGATTACGTTTTTAAATTCCTTTTTGTGCAATAAGATAATCCCTCTTATCCAATATAATAGCTTTTGCCATTAAATGACTAAAGAAATACGAAAATGCCATAAATTTATATAAACTATTAAATATACCTATTTAAAAAAATGTATTTACTAAAAAATGTTTTTTTACTAAAATTGCATACAAATAAATTTAATCATAAAAATATAAAATTAATAATTAGATTTTAAGCAGTAAAATGTAAAAGTTTTTTATATTAGTATAATTTGTAATTACAATAATTAAGAATAATATTAAAGTAAGTATGTGTGTTTTAGAACTTTCTGTTCCATAAAATTATTGTTATAAAATTTTTTAAAATTTTCTCTTACATCTAATATGTTGACTGACTAATATGTTGACTATAATAAAAAAGACTAAATAATATTCTTCCTTGAAATATAAAGATAAAAATGGATTAAGTCAAAATTATAATTAATTTGAACTATTCCCTGCCACTAAATCAAAAGAAAAAAATTCAAAAAAAAAACCAAATAAAGGATGTCTCCTTTTTATTTAGTTTTTAATTTTAGAAAAAAATTTAATTTTAAAATCATAAATTTATTGGAAAATGTGATTTATTGCAAGTTGAAAAAATAAAAAATCAGTAATTAATGTGAAGACATCCAAGAGGAAGTTCGAAGACATTTATTACTGTTATTTCTATTCTATAATATTTATTACATTTTAAAAAAAATAATTTATTTTAAAATATTTATCACATTTACAACATTAAGGAGTAATAAATCTTTTATTTTCATATTTATCATTTTTATATAACTAATAATTATTACTTTAATTTAATAATTCTATCCTATAATATTTATTACATTTTAAAAAAAATAATTTATTTTTAAATCATTACACATTTACAACATTAAGGCAGAATAAACTCTTTTATTTTCATATTTAATCATTTTTATATAACTAATAATTAATTACTTTAATTTAATAATTTTTTAAAAATTTGATACTTAATTTAAAAATAATATAATTAATTTGATTTAATAATTTATTATGATAAATTATTTAATAATTTATTATAATTTAAATAAATTTAATAAATTTTTTGAAAAGACGTTAAATTTCGCCTGATGTGACAAGTACGGAGGAGAGATAGTAATTAGGGCCTAGGGGGCAAAAAACTACCAAAAGTTATGGTAGTTAAAGATTCCTTGCATGTACGGGTGAGAGGGTGAGAATTCTATTGGTTGGATTTAAATTGAATCAAATCACTGTAAATCAAATAAATTGAATTTGGCTTAGAGTAGTGCTAAATGGATAATTTTGAACCGGATCAAATCCACCATTTCTATTTAAATTGTCGTAATTATCCTTTTTAATTTTTTTGAGGCTTTTATTCTTCCTCTTTACAAGCATTAAATGCATTGCTTCAATTATTACATTGAGTTTTGTGAGTTCAAGTTCAAGATATTATTTTTAGTCCAAGTTCAAGATGACAAACAATCATCCGTAGCCATATTTTAAGAGCGTAAAACATTTTTCGAAATTTAATAAACTTATTATAACTTTATAAATCTATATTTTATTAATTTATTAATCATCGGTAACCACTATTTTCACCATTGGCAGTCGCCGACGACTTTCATAATTTATCTTTTTTTGCATTATTCTTATATTTAACAATAAAATTTTTAAAATATGAAATTTGTATGATTAGTATTTTTATTTTTATGGTCTTATGAGATTTAGTATTTTTATTTTATGGTCTTTATATTTAACAATAAAATTTTTAAAATATGAAATTTGTATGATTAGTATTTTTATTTTTATGGTCTTATGAGTTAAAAATTTTAATATTTTTAACTAATTTTCAAATTACAACCAAATAACGAAAAATAAGTTATTTGAAAATATTTTCAGTAAATGTTTTCAAGATTTTCCGAAGGTAATTTATTTTCTGGAAAGAAATGGAGCTTTAAATTAATGTGAAAAGTACTTTTCATAATATTTTTTATCTTTAGATCCAAAAGATATTTACATTTAGAAATAATTTTTTTGAAAGGAATAACTCGTTATAATATATAATAACACAAAAATGTTAACTATTTAGGGGTATTAAAAATATAAATATATTTTTTAATAGAGTGAGGTATTATGATATTATACATAATTATAATACTATAGAGTATAGCACTAATTAGAATACTAGATACAACTATAATTGCAAATGTTATAATAATAATAATAATAATTAATTCTATTAGAGTGCTAGTTAAAATTAGAATAATTAATATTGGTACTATCTTTTGATATATTTTGGTGATTTGTATTATAATAATTTTAAAATATTTTATTTCTGAATAAAATAGCTAAAACAAAATTAAAAAAATTTGCTGAACTACAAACCATGCATGCTTTTACTTTTAGCCAATAAAAGGTCACCTGAGATTTGAAGAGCTCATTAAATTAGTCTCCATTATGCAATTATTTCTCTCCAAAAATTCCTTTCAAATTGTTGAAGGATAAATTAGTCTTTAAACATTAACATTTATTGCACTTAGTGGAACATTTTTATTTGGCTTAAATACCCCAAATTTTGATGAGTTATTATAATTGCATCCAATTTGAACTTTACATTTACCTTTTGATTTAAAATTTTAGTTGTATTGCATTCAAAATGGATTTTAGAGTTAAAATTAATAATATTTCAACATTAAAGGATATATCGGGCAACAACTTTTTAAGTAGGTTTTAATGTTTTGACTAAATGCTATTTTTTATTACATCGGTAATATATTATTTGAACTAGTTTTTAGAGGTAAAGACTGTGTTATATGAAAGGCTAATCATATAACATTTAACGTTTAGCCTCAAATAGCTACAGATTTCTACATGCAATATATTTCAAATGACTTTTTGAAAAATAGATTAACAAAAAATTTATTGATTTTGAAATTAAGATACGATCACAAAATATAATGTTGGACAAAAATTATTAGGAGATTTAAGAATTTTAAAAAATTATTTGTGGCTGAAAAAAAATATATATATGCCAGAACAAAAGCCAAAAACAAATATTATCTCTATTCTATAATACTTGTTACATTTAAGAAAATAACTTATTTTAAAATACTTGTCACATTTGTGGTTTCAATGAGTAATAAATGTTTTTTTCCATGTTTACCCTTTGTATATGGTCAATAATTATTACTTCAATTTAATAATTTTTTTTGAAAATTAATATTAAATTAAGGGTAATATAGTCAATTTACTCGATAATTTATTATAACTTAGACACATTTAATGGTTTTCTTAAAGAATATAAAATTCCATATGTGACAAGTATTATGGAACAGTAAGTAGTATATGATATTAAAATAGTTGAGAGGAGTTCTGCCAAAAAAAAAGTGTGTGGAGATGTGATGAACAAAGTTATATGCCATGATGGATTTTAGTTGGGAGTAACATATGAATAGGTTTAATAAACTTTTTTTTTTTTTTCATTATTTATGTACATACAAAACTTGAATAACAAAATTCAATTTACTTAAAAAGGAACAACAAATGCAAATATTAGAAAATAAAATAAACAAAATATCATTTTAATTTGCTCTAATACTATGTTAAAAAATATCATGCTTTTATTAAAAAATAATACTATGGAAGGCACTATTGCACCACTTAAAGAAGACATGGAGCCAAGTGAGAACAATAACCTTAATTCCAATTTTAATTCTCAGCTCATGTCAAAAGCCTTATATAAAGGTTACCTTTGTCTTTTTACTTTTTTTTTTTTTTTTTTTTTTTTTTATCTCCCCTTTATACCCAAACTTATAAAGAAGTTGGCCTTAAATTAGGGTAGTTTTGAATCGAGGAAGGTGTGTAATTTTTTCAATTTTTTTGTTTTTACTTTTTTTTTTTTTTTATCTCCCCTCTTATACCCAACTTATAAAGCAAGTTGGCCTAAATTAGGGTAGTTTTGAATGGAGGAAGGTGATTTGTATTCAATTTTTGAAAATAAAAAGATGTATTTATTGATTTCACTATATTTCAGAAATATGTTTTCTTTTCCTTGTAAAATTATTTGCCAAAAAAATTATATTTAATACTATAATAAAAAGTGCCCTAACATCGATTTTATTTTTTGAATAAATTTGTTAATTATTAAATTTATAACATAAGTTGATTACAAATAATTAACCTTGATTAGACTTGCAAACTTCATGAACTTGATGATACTCGATTCATCTCCAATTGTTTGTTAATGAACCAAGCTTAGCGTAGCTGGTTTACACCCTCCCTGTCAGTCATGCAGCTACAAAACAGCGAAGATAGTCGGACATATTTAACCTTTTATAAAACATTATTTTAATATTTAAAAATTAATTTAAACGTTATATAATATTTTTGCCAACCGCAATCTCAGCCTCAACCTCAACCTGCTCAATTTTAAATGTCACTACCATTGCAAGAAAGATGGCTAGGCTTTGTAAAAGCAAAGGCATGCAGAGAGCAAAGAACACAGCAAATACAATAATATTTAAGAATTACAAAACCAAAATGGTTCCTGATTTGTTCTAATCAAGGGAATTTGATTATTTAATAATACAGATGTGAATGGTAGCAGCTAAAGTTTTTGCAAAGCTGACCAAATAACAAATGAAAAATGCCAATTTTACTAATCAGGAATTGACTACTGCATTTTTTGTCTGAAGAAAGACGAGAACAGGTTTCTGGTTTCCGAAATCAGTACACTTCCACGTGCCATTGTTTGTTCTTCTTGAGCTGTGAGAGCTTCTGTTCCCAGCTTTCTCCTCTCTGCTCTGCAACTCTCTTCAGTGTATCTTGGATCCCAGGCATCATTCCTTTTAGCCCACAGAAATAAATGTGAGCACCACAATCCAAGAGTTTGAAGATTTCATCGCTATATTCCTCAATTTTATCCTGCACATACATCTTTCCTCCGCTTTTATTCTTTTGTTCTCTACTAAGTGCCTTGTCATAGCGGAAGTTATCTGGGTAGTCCTGAAGATACTTTGTAAATTCATCATCATAGAGGAGACTATCGGTGTTTGCCACCCCAAGGAAAAGCCAAGCAAGGCCACCAAACTTGTACTTAGAGACATCCTCCATGAACATACGTCGAAGATAGCCTCTAAAAGGAGCCACACCAGTTCCAGTAGCAATCATTATGTGGGTAGCATTAGGGTTATCTTCAGGCAAAAGCATTATCTTGCCAGCGGGCCCTGCAAAAATATTCTAGCACTAAGTCGAGGGATATTGAAAATAACAAAGACAAAGAATGCACTAGCCATTACCCATTACCTAGCCTATGTTATCTGTCAATGTAATTTATATAAACAATAGATTTTTTATTTGAACACTAAACTTCAAATTCATGTGCACAATTGCACATGCACACACTGATATCTACCTGCCCACCCCCCAATGCATGTACAGTATTTTAAACCTAAGCACATGGACACATAAGTCTGTTCTATCAAGCAATTCCAGATAATCCATTTGCTCATATGTGTATAGGCAAGAATTAAGCAGCAGCAGCACACATGCACACACTCTTAATGGTGAACACCCATAATATCATGTCTTTTGATTGAGGAAAATTCTGATTGATTTCTTAGCTTTCCCATAGAAGTTAAATATTAGATAAGCATCAAATATACAACATTCAAAGCAAAGGAATACATAAAAGATTTGATCATTGAGCGATCCTTGTAGTCCAAAAAATAGTAGGGCTTTACCGGTGATCTGAACTTTATCTCCAGGCTTTGAGTTGCAAAGGAAATTGCTGCATACACCATTCTTTGAAGGATCCTCCTTTCCAGTCTCAGGATCATAGTAAAGAGCACGACGAACACACAATGTAGCTGTCTTGCCATCAAAATTGTCCCCATACCTGGTTGATGCAATTGAATAAAGACGTACATTGTGAGGTGCCCCTGGCTTCTTTGGGTTTTCACCCTACATATGGAGAGAGGTAAATTAGTAAACCCAGTAGTTAAAATTCAGTATGTCATAATTTGCATATTATAATGCCAAGACTAGCTATAGGAGACAAATGAGGCTTTTAAGGCAGTAGGTTCTGAGTCGTCACCGACAGTTTGGCAAGATTGGACATCAAATGTAGACCAGAACCAGAAAAGGAATTGAACAACAATACTGATGAGTCAATTTTCACACATCAAAGAAAGCCTAACTTCTGCTTTCGAGCATAAAATGCCCCATTAATTCCCCTAGCTAGACCCACCAACCAGAAAACAAAGAAGGAACCAAGTAAAAAAAAGCTTAGCACAACTACAAAAGTGAAGTGTAATATATAAAGAGCTACACATGATAAAAAAAAAAAAATTAACTTACAGGAGGAATTACACCATAACTTTGTCCTTCCCAATAAGGAACATTACCACCATGATCAATCACAATGTGGCATGTCTCTCCAGGAGCTTTTGGGCCTACAAGCCTCTCAACAGAGACAATGGTTGCTGTGTAAGGTTCCTTGGGCTTGTATATATTCAATGGAGGCTCTTCGGCATCTTCAAGTTCCAAAGGTGAAACTGCAACCTTTGATCTGCTGGCTTGTTGCACTGACATGCACACCATGTACCGATTTTTCAATCGAGCATTTTTTGATTTCAAGTCCAAAGATAAGGAGGGGGCCCATGATTTATCGTTGAAGGTTACACTGTGAGGCTGCTACAAAATCAAGTGCAAAATGGCATGAGAACTAATTTAAGTACATGCACAACATAAGATAGAGTCTGATAGACTCAGTGGCTATTCCCCCTTTCTTACAAGTTCTTACTGGTTAGTTTTTTCACTTTCGGATTTGACTGTCAAAAAGCAATAGCCAATAAAGAAATACCAAAGATTTAGGAGAATATATGTTCTACTGAATTTTTATCATTATCGTACAGTAGAAAGTTGTTCAGAAATGCAGTATTGAACCAACAAAAGAAACTCATACACCTCATTGATACAAGATCTAATTGATTAGCATTTATCAAATAATCTAGCTTCCACTTCCACTGGGGATACTTTACTTCACTTAACAAATAATTTTTCAGTAACTGCTAACAGATAATAGCATGCAGAAGCATTTAAAGAACTGCAATATTCAAATTTCATAAGCATGGAAACATAATCGTAAAAAAAAAAAAAAAAAAAAAAAAGCATTTAAAGAAACTGCAATATTTCAAATTTCATAAAGCATGGAAACATTAATTTCGGCTTAAAAAAAAAAAAAAAAAAAAAAAAACACCATTCAGCTTGATATCCAAAGGGTACTAAGTATTTGATTTTAGACATGCCCATAAAAAGAGACTAAAATCGAAAGGATGGTGTGCAATTATAAATATTATAAACCTATATATTAAATTAAAAAAAAAAAAAAAAAAAAAAAAACACATTCTAGCTTGATATCCAAAAGGTACTAAGTATTGATTTTAGACATGCCCATAAAAAGAAGACTAAAATCGAAAGGATGGTGTGCAATATAAATTATATAACCTATATATAATTAACATGTCTAATTTAAACATTTCCTCAGCCCAAAGTGCAAAGTAATTCTCCCTATTATTTTTCATCTTCTATTAGGCCTAAAGTTTTGATGATTATTCATAAAGGTAACCACTGGAACTGCAGCTATACCTATCAATTACATATAAGAAAAAATTAGAGCAAGCTTGCTTGATCTTGCATCCCAGAAAAGAAATCCAAAATAAAATTCTCGTAGATTTTGGAGAACCAGAGACATTAAGGAAATTTTAGAGTCATACTTGAAACAGATTTTATTTCCATTTAAAACAAGAAGTTGGACCTCTACTTGCAGGAAAAACAACAAAAAAAGAATATCATTCTATAGCAGAATTCCAAGTCTCATTCCAATTTACAGGATCAAACTAGCATGGATCTTAAAATGTAGAATGATGCTTGCCTTAAATCAAAGAAGTATATATACAAATTTGATCAAACATAATAGTGTAGTACCACAAAAATAAGAACAACAAATTAAAAAGGAAGAAGGGATAATAATATGTCTCAATATTTAATGGATACCCTTCTCCATCTCCATCAACAAACATCAAAAACACATCTGACCAGACCCCTATACTATCACCCCGAATCTGATGCCTAAACCAGAGTCTAGTACGGATAGTGGGACCTATAAACATGAGCTGTGCATCAAATATGACAAAGTGATGTACCAATCAGTACAAAATTTAAAAATAAATAAATTTCTGATACTTGCAATAGCGGGTCCATTCAACCAAGATTTATATACCCAAATTTTACATCATATAATTACTCAAAAAGCAAAGAGCCCAACTTTCATCTCTCGGAAACAAAATTAGCATATACTCTTACTTATGGTAAAACACTAGCCAAACAGTACGTAAATCCTCTAATCATAATAAAAAACTGAACCAAACCAACTACCTTAAAAACTGATCTTCGCAGAGTTGAATCGCTCCCAACAGGAACAGCCAATGAAACCTGCAACACAAAATATTGAACTTTTGTTTGAGAAAAGATCTCCAATACTTAATACCCCATACGGGTTTCCAAAAAAACTGTGTTTGGTTGCAGAGGAATAAATAAAGTGAGAGAAAATTAAATAAGAGTTTCAGGCGTGAATTTGACCTGCGAAACAGCTGCCGAATGGGCCATGATCCGATCAGAGAAACAAAGAGAAAAAAAGCAGTGAGATTGCAAAGATTGGAGTGGGTTTATCTGATATATAGGGCTTAAGATTGGATCATGCAAGTGATGAAAAAGAAGAAGAGCAGTTTTGACTAGCAGCCTTCACTGATCCTTTGAGGAGTAGCAAAGGACGGATCTTTGGACTCTTTTTTAATTCCCCCTGGCCTCTGCCCCCTCAAGTCACTAGAGTGCTGCCGTTGCCACCCAGCCTGCGCTGTTTCTCTAATTTTAACATCTTATTTGATTTCATCAATATTTATTTTACATTATTATTTTTTATTTACCAATATACCCCTTCTCATTTTGTCTTTTTTCATTGATTTTTATTTTATTTTATTTTTAGCAATTTAAATTTATTACTGGCTGCTAATGCAAAATATTAAATTCTATTTCAGCTATAACAAAATATAACGATATATTCCATCGGAAAAAAAAAATGCAATATAACTAAAAATAAAATCGAGTTGATTTATAAACCTCATAGCTTATTGCTCTATCTATTGATAAGAATATGTCTAATTGCTTATTGAACTTTAAATCGGTTGTTAATTCTATGAGCTACACTTTTTTTGAATTTTTATTTCTAATTAAATTATATTTGGATTATATTAATTTTTATAAAATACTTATTACTAATTTTTTAACTAATATTTTTATATCATTATTTTAGTTATAATTAATTAAAATAATAAATAGCAATTAGATATTATTATAAAAATTAGTTAATATTTTTATTTATATAACACGTTAAAATAGATAATAATGTATTCAGTTGCTAAAAGCTATCATAGAAGCAGTATTTCGGTCCTAATCAAAATATTAAACCGCATTTTAAAAATTATTCTCGAACAAAGCTTTGAAATGTTATCAAATAATTAACATTCATTAGTTAAAAATGAGCATATAATCCCGCACCATGCACTTGTTAGTTGTTATAAGTTGTGTATTTTTAAACGTAGTTTTAAAATTGTGTTATAATACAACGAAATGTGACATTTTATAATAAAAATTTGTGTATAATACTTCGTATTTGTTAACTTTATACATAATAATTTAATTTGTAAACAACATTTTAAATAATATATTGATATTATCGTGTACATCTAATGTATATTTGTTACTACATTTTGATATCATACAGTTTGATAATGATACTTCTATTAGAGTTTTGTCAGAATATTTGTTACTACACAAATACAAATATATTATTTAACTAAATAAGGTTGAAAATCTATATATATTTATTATGAATTTTTTAACATTACAATTTTCTTGTCAACTTATAATAAATTTAAAATATTTTTAAAAACAACGGTACTTTTTCACGCCTTCAGATACATATAATAAAATTTCGATCACTAAAAAGAACTAAATTTATTTTAATAGAAAACGTTAATTATTGTTTTTACAATACTAAATGTCACTTGACATGTTACAACTTGTTTTATGCAAACAACAAATAAAAAATACTTTTTTTTTTTCCGTTGCATATTTTATATAAGAAAAACTCCCTTCTTCCATTTTAATAGTAATATTTGGTCTTTTCAGAGGAATTAAGAAAATGATTGAATACATAAATTTTATAAAAATTATAGTAAAATGTCTGAATTGTCTTTCCTAAAATTAAAAACTCAATTTTACTACAAAACACCTAATAAATATAGATAAAATTAAAAAAAATAATTAGTGCGCTCTTAAAATTCTAAATGAGGATTTAAAGTTAAAAAAATAAAATATTTATTTGTTTTATTAAAGTGGAACAAACGGAATATTATACAAGCGCCGTCAACAACAATTTTAATAATATTTTTATAAACAGAGAGATAGAATAAGATGCCTTTTAACTACTAGGATTTACCATTTAAATTAGATTAATTAATCAAATTTATTTAAATAAATAAAAGTAACAAAAACCATAGCAGCCGTAGGTGACTGTAAAAATATAATAATAAAAAATAATTTGTAGTAGCCCAAGGGAGAGTCAAAATTCAAAAAAGAGGTTCTCATATTTATATTTCTTTATTCAACAACGACAATTCAGTGGAAGCAGTCATTCCCATGTGTAATAAACTAATACTGCCTTTGTTTTTAAAAGAGTAATATGTTCATCAAAGGAGGCTTGACTACTTTTTATTTTTTAATGATAATATATAATTCATATCATCAAATTTGTTGCATGTGCTGACTCTCAAATTGGATTTTTTATTATATTATTATTATTATTATGAACATGAAAAACAAGAAGAGCAAGGTCGTTGGCACTCACAACTGAAGATTGGTTGTAAAAAGCTGGATGGGAACTTTATAATTGATGTAAATAAATATTGTAATATATGTCTTTTTTATTTATTTTTTCTTTATAGAATATTGCTTCAGGGCTTATTTGTTTAATAAATGATTTTTGTTTTTCAGATCAACCTTTTCTTCTAATGCAACTAGAAACTGTTGACCATAGTTTAGTGTCGATTTGGATCGTTTTGATTTTAATTTGATTCCAGTTTAAAATACTACTGTCATTCCTACTGTTTTTGATAAAGTATAATTTTTTTTTCCCCTTAAAATATGTATGTCTCTCTGTGTTGATATTGACATCACTAAATGGATGAAATAGACTCATTACTAAGGAGATAATTCGGTCCGGAGCTTAGTGATAATTAAAACTCTTCGTCTCTCCCTGTAAATGCGTTTAGTGGAATCAAACTCGAGAGCTTTTTTCATATACTCAACTTACATTGTCGATTGAGCCACAATCATTTAAGTACTCTTTTGGTTTTTTTAACAGCAATTGAGGCAAAAAAAAAATGAAATAGACTCATTTACTAAGGAATAATCGGTCCGGAGCTTAGTGATAATAAAACTCTTCGTTCTCTCCCCTGTAAATGCGTTTAGTGGAATCAAACCGAGAGCTTTTTTCATATACCAACTTACATTGTCGATTGGAGCCACAATCATTTAAAGTACTTCTTTTGGTTTTTTTTTAACAGCAATTGAGCAAAAAAAAAAAAATATATATATATATATATATATATATTATATACAAATCAAGCTTGTGAAATTGTAGCTCAAGTGCTTTTATACAAATCAAGCTTGTGAAATTGTAGCTCAAGTGCTTTATGTTGACATAACAATGAAAATTCTTGTTCCTTTTACCTTCGAGAATTAATCTTCTATTGAATTATAATTATACTCTATAGAATCAAAATCTTAACAATTTTCTAAGTAATAAAGATATTTTTATATAACTACACATTTATCATACTACAATATATTTTGTAGTACGTATTATAATTTAAAATTTTGTATTGTTTTATTTATTTATAATAAAAATTACTTTTTTTTACTTTATTTATGTCAAGATATAGTGTTTGTCACAATAATAATTTTCTTTTTTTATGGCTCTAAAAAAAATATAATTATCTTTGTAAAATTTACTTGGTATTTTTAGCTATTATACTTAGCGGTTACAAATCAAAGTTATTTTATGCAATTCTATTTTTTAATTTCTATTTTAAGAAAATTTTAAAATTAAACATGTTTTGAAAGTATAAAACGACAGATAAAATCAAACTAAAACATCATCAAGAAAAACATAATTATGAATATATTTAAGGTATTTTGTTTGATATGTTTGGTTCTTTTAAATATAGCAATTGTGGATGCAGGGGCAAGAACTTCTGTTGCTGTAACTGCAAAGGCAAAAACCTCAGTTTCTGTCAATAAAATGGATCCTTGTAAAAAATATGGAAATCGATTTCCAGGATGTCCTCCTACCAAGAAACAAATTGCTTTCAACAAACAAATTTCTCATAAAAAAGTTGCTCGTAAAAAAGTATACGGATACGGTCAGGGCTTGCTAAGTAGTACACCGTGCATAGGCGTTTAACAGAAGGATACAACGGAAGTAAAAAATGAAGATAAATTATGTATTACTGAAAATGTAAGGGTGAAGTTATGTGTTTTAACAAAATATAAGGATGAAATAGTAATTTTTTTCTATAATTATATTGTAATTGTAAATTATTTATTGTAATTATTGAAGATTTTGATTTGATATTTTAAATTTTGATGACATCTCTTTTATTTTCTATGTACAATCATCTTACATCTTAGAAGGTGACTTCATAGGTGTGTTATATGAATTAAATTTTCTGTTTCTTTTAGCATTTTTTCTGGTAATGTGTTATTTCCAATATTTGTAAATATACAGCTATTTATGTTTGTTTAATTATTTATTATAGAATTTCACATTACAATAATTAATTATAATATAAATTATTTTACGGAAATAAATCAGAATATAAAAAATGAAAGATAGCTAATACATAAAATAATTGCTATTTAATTTTTATTATTAAACTATTAATAAAATTGATAATAAAAAATATTGTTATTATGGATAAAATAGTGGGTCCAGTGAATGTCCACTGTCCAAACACAAAGGTGGCAAAAAAGTTTAATTAAAAACAGCCACGAGTTTTTTGTGAGTAGTTGACGGCAGAAAGTTCTGGAAATTCCAACCACAAATCATATCCCTTCTCCTGGACCCACCCATCACCAGATGCATATGTAATCTCACTTTGACATCTGTAGGAACTCCAACACAACACCTAATAAACCAAATATATTGCTCTTCAAAAAAAAAAAAAAAAAAAAAAAAGTTAATCTCACTTTTGGACATTTCTGTAGGAACTCCAACACAACACCTAATAAACCATATTATTGCTTCTTTCAAAAAAAAAAAAAAAAAAAAAAAAAAAAAAAAAAAAAAAAAAAACCAAAAAAAAGATTTAGTCGCACTTATTCAAATTTCTAATAATAATTATTACTAATCTGAAAACCTCCATTTCAAAGTTTTTTTAATTAATTAATTACTAGTAGTATTTATGGGTCAAACTAAAATCATTTAAAGATTATTTTATAATTTTCTTAATTTAACAATGTGTATTTTTTATTTGAAGTGTAAATTAAAATATAAAATATAAAAATATAGTAACAAATAAAAAATAAAATATAATTTATTATATTATTCTCTATTTTAAATATATGAATATTAATTAAAATTTTCTGTAATTATATACTTCTTCCGCTCTATTTTATTTGCTTGTTATTCATTTTTTAGATGTCCAAAATATTTGCAAGATTTATAAATTTATTTTTAGATGTCCAAAATATTTGCAAGATTTATAAATTTATATATTTAAACAATTACTTTTCTCATAATAATTTTTATAATTATTTATTAAATAAATGACTTTTATTAATATTTCAATGAGTTAAGGGTAAAAAAAATAAAATAATTTTTATTGACTAAATTTATATTTTATCAAACCATATAAATAAAAGGGAATGGATGGAGCATTATTTTTTCAGTAGAAAGGAAGGTACTAAACCTGAGCAAAAAGAGATGTCATACAGCACCAAAATAAAATAATTAGTCCCATATAATTTTTCCAAAATTATTCATTTATAATATTAAATAACGTATAAACAATTGGAAATAGAAATATATATTAAATAAGAGTATATTTAAATAATTTTTTTAAAAAAAGTAAATAAGATTACATTTTGGGATGGAAGGAAAAAATAAAATGAGCATATAATTTCTATTAGTCTACCAAAATAGACTCTCTTTTATAGGGTGGTAATTTTTATATTCAAAACTCTAAATTGAGAGATATTTAATTAAAGAAAAATAAATTTTAATCACCCCATCACAATCAATATTAATAATTAAATAATTAATTTTATCGAATAGAAATAACAGTTAATAAAATAACTAACAATTGTTATACTAAAACAGTTAATATTTCGGAACGTGCCCTTGGACTTAAATCAAATAATAAACGCTGTCTTAAAAAGTTACAGCAATTATCTACCAGTTAGAATTTTTATCAAACGGTCAGCGGTCACCCTTAATAACATCCATTCTCTGGCGAGCCCCACTTTAACTCGTGGACGAGATTTGCTCTTCCTCTACTTTCGGTCACCTCCTCCCTCCTGCCCGAATCTCAACCTTCCCTTGCTTTCTTTCTTTCTTTCTTGGTCTCATTCGACGATCTAGTTTTGTTTATTGATGTGAAACAAATTCGACTTTTAACAACAAAAATTTACAGTTTTTTTTTACATTGAATTTACAAAGAACTCCAGTTAAATTATCCAAAACCCCCATTCTAACGCAAATTAAATTAAAAAAAATAATAAAAAGATAAACAGAATGAAATCTAAAACTCTTTTCTTTTAATTTTCAAAGCAAAATTGAGGCCAATCTTATGCTTGATTTTTCATAAAAATAACTAATAAAAGTAAGGTAAGTAATCATTGTTATATATTTTTTAAATTACATAAATTATTTATGTTATTTAAGATATGTGAATTCACTTTTATATTAAAATATTATTTTAATGAATTTCATTTTTAATTTATCATCAAGATTAAATAGTAAATTATTATACAATAAGAAATTATTTTTTGTGTTTTTCATTTACCGAATAATAAATTATATCATGAATAGTTAATTTTCTATAATTTTCAAAAAATAAAATTAAAGTCAAATGGTTATAATAGTATTGTATTGTAAGGATTTAATCAATAAAATGAGTTGTTTCAACAATTGTTTACTGTCCTAATAGTTGTCGAATGTTTAATTAAAAATAATAAAATATTAACTATTTGCTATGAAATAAATAAACATGGAGAGTTTCTTTCTTCTTCTTCAAATACATATACTTCTACAAATACATATATATATATATATATATATATATATATATATATGGAGAGTTCCTAATTAAGGTAATTATGGAGCTGAAATCACTATTATTGTGTACTTCCTCCACTCTCAAAATTATATATATATGGAGAGTTCCTAATTAAGGTAATTATGGAGCTGAATCACTATATGTGTTACTTCCTCACTCTCAAAATATAAATTGTCGTTTTTGATTTGTTATTTTGTCGCAAAATATAAACCGTTTTGTGTATTTTAAAAAGTAATAAATGATATTTTTTCAATATTGTCCTTTGTTTACACTGAATATAATAAATACTCGATAAGCAACTATTGATTTTTGAAATAAAATATAATTTGGTCAAATTACATTGAATTTGTTATAATTTAGGAGAATTAATTGCTCCTTAATCATTGTACAAAAACTTTAAACCACTTATATTTTGAGACAGATGAAGTAATTTTTATTTATAATAAATTATATATCTATATAAACAACACAAGGTATAAATAATAATTTCCATTCCTTATATTTTATGTCTTCAATCTTTAGTCTCTTATTTCTTATAAAAATTATTTGTTTATAATTTCCTTATTTAGAAAATTTAATTACCTAAATAAAAATAAATAATTATTAAATGTAAATCAATAAAAATAAAGGAGTTTTATTAAGATAATAAAAATAAATAAATAAAGGAGCGTTTGGATAGAGGTAGCAGTGAAGTAGGGCGGTAAAAAGAATTGGAATTCTATTTCTGTAAATTTTCTCATTCCCCCAAACAGAAAACAGAGACCTGTATAATTCCCTTTCACCTGTACTGCGACAGAGGATTTTTGAACATCAACCATAAGAGAGAGCCTTCTCTGCAAAGCCAGCAAAAGGTCATTCTCTTTTTCCCTGTAAGGTAAGTTTCGAAATTCGAAACCCTAATTCCCTTCTTTCCCTCCTTTTTTTTTTTTTCTTAATTTGTTTCTTCCTTCTTTCAATTTAATCTGTTCTATTGCATGGCAATGATAATTTCTTTTACAATCTCTCTTGTATTTGTATTCTGCTTTTTTGCTACTTCATCTCTATTGAACAAATTGGATTTCCCTTTTCCTTTGCCTTTGGTTCCTCTGCAACTATTCGGATTAAGTGCGTGTTTGATTTTCGTTGAATTGTTTTGGTTGCGACTCATCGACAATTGGAGAATTGGAAATGAGTTAAGTGTTTTGTGATGGGTTGTTTCTCATTGTTCAGCGAGCATTTGGTACTCTGTTTATTTTCAGTTGATATTTGGGATCATCATAGTTGCTTGAGTTCTATTTGTGGTTTAGGTGAATTTAAGAGTTAATTTTATTTTTCATTGTGTTTGTTAATTGAGTTGAAAATTGTGTTGTTGCATTTTATTGAGCAGTTTATCTGAAGTGTTTGGCTTTGACTTGATTGAATTTTGGTTATTGTTGCTTATGAATTGATTTTGGATTTTGATTATTTATTAATCAATTAAATCACTGGTTGTTGTGATTTAATTTTGGTGAAATTCACTGATTGTTATGATTTAATTCAGTTATTTGATCGTATTTGCACGTCTTATGCTATGAATGTTTTTTAATTTGACAATTGGTTTGCTGAAAGTTCTGATTTTTTGTAGTTGCTTTCCTTCTGGTGATGGATTTTATTGGAAAGAAGGCATCAAATATAATATTCAATTAAAATTTAGCAATTTTCAATGAAATGCACTTGAAGCCAACCTTCTGCTCAAAGTTCTGTTACTCCCTTATCTTTTTAATATTGGTGCAGACAAGACTGTAGCATGTAGGATAGAACAAATTGACTCTGCTAGTGGGTGCTTGTTGTTGGCTTATCTTCTGTTTTTATGGTTATACTATGAGATATGCCTGCAAATTGCCATTTTTCTTTTTTGGGTTTTCTTCCCTAACATCCCTTGATGAGAAAAAGGTATATTCATTTCCCAGCACTAGTTTATAAGTGCTTTGAAAATCCTCTGTAGTGTTTTTGCTCTTCTGTCTTTGCCGAAAAAGTAGTGATCCACATGCAACGAGTCCAGGGTTGAGCCAATCCAACTAAACCTTGGTGACATACTTATATCTTCTTGCACAAAACTCCAGTTGTAAATTATTTATGCTTTGAATGGAGATAGAAAAAAAAAAAAGGACGTTCCTGGAGTTCTTGTTTATTTGGGAGAATTGCTTTGGAGAATGAAATTTCAAACTTGCTCCTACAATAGATTTTTTTTTTCTTAAGCTCAGGCCACTTGAGACAGAACAGAATCAATGGATTTCTCTACTCTAGAGATGGCCTGATTCTAACATTTGTGCACCTGCTTTACTAAATTAACTATGATGTTACTCCATATTCAAATTTAAATGGTGATGGTACCCATACTAAAGCTACCATGAATTCTAGTTTCTTTTTTTCCCCCATGTTCTTACACTTGTTCTGTTAGTGTTGTCATCATAACTAAAATCTTACTTTGTTAAGTGAAGGAGGCTATAGTAACAATCTTGTCATCTCCACATTTGTTGAAGAGATACATGAACTTGATTCATGGCATTAATAGAATATCCTGAATAGGGGTGAATAGTATTTGGAGCATGCCTATCTGAGGGTGTTATAAATTTGGACAAACTAATTTTCCTTTTGCAATATCATTTCCTCTCTTGCTCTTTTGATATATTTTTCTTATCCATATTCTTGTCTTCTCCTCACTATAACATCTCAACTTCCGAATTAACTCTACAATAGCTAGTTGGTGCTTTCTCTCATCTCTTTTCCTAGTAAACTTTTCGAGTGCCTTATTTGTCTTTGCAATTTCAGAATAGTATAAGAAGAAACCTTAGATGAACCTTGAATTTATCTGTAGTTGAATCAGTATTTCCTTTAGCAGTATCAAAATTTGGTGATTCTTGTTTATGATTTTGTCACTATTTGCTGCTAACCTCGAGATTTGATTAGATAGTATAGTGGAAATCAATTCATTGAACATCTTCATTTAAGCACTGAATATCAGTAGTGGAGACTGCAGAATGTACTTTGTGGCAGACAGTGCAGAAGTTTTGGAGGGAGGATTCCTTGTTAGTAGCATAGGCTTTTATTTTATAGTGCATGCTGGGAAGAATATAGTTACTGGCACACAAATATTTGGAAAGCATACAAGAACATCTGATAATATTTTATTCCAAAATACTAACTAAAATGTACATTTGCCTTTTGTTTCTGGCTTAAGCTCTTTCCTTATTTCTTTTCTTTGATGGGGAATGAGAGACAATTTGAGCATAATAAATAAACACTCGAACACACCAGATTGTGGAAATGAAAAGCATTATCTTCCTATCTCAAGAAAGATATTCATTCTGTGCAGCATGGCTTATGATTCATTGTTTAGTTGCTAATTCTAAATCAGGTCAAAACTTTCTGATTAAGGACTAACTTGCTACTTTGAAGTTCAGTGTAGTGGAAAGGTGCAGGTCTGGCAAATGATGGTGGTGGTGTTGGAAGTTTAGTTGGACCAATTTTGTGAAACAACTGGGATTGCTATTTTTTAATGTTCAGGTTCATTGATGGGAGAGTTCAAGGATGTAGAGATGTATTAATGGATATGCATGTTGAGGTATGATGTTCGGTGAGTTTAGGATGGTGGATTGTAGTAGGAATGAGGTGAGGTCAGGGGTCGTGATGAGGTATCGTGGTACTGAAGTTCATTATGGTAATAAGATAGTGCTCTTTACAATTTACTGGTATTTGGCTAGAAATCTTTCAAAATGTCAATCAAATGCTTCAAATTGCTTACAATTACTTTCTATAAAGGATCTCTTTCCCATTCAGTAACTGTATTGGCTGGAAAATTAAGGAGATAATTCTAAAAATTTTTAGTTTCACATGTAACTCATTTTGTTCAATAAAATTATGATTAGCAGAAATGTAGAGAAAATATGTTACTAATGTTTTGACTTGAAAGATGTCACATGGCAGCAGGTAAGATGTAGCATGGCTATGCCATTACTTGCTCTTTTTTTCGCAGCTAGGAATAACCCACTCGTACCTGGAGACAGCCAACTCTTTACAGGATAGGTAAACCCATCATATTTAGACTGAGTAGAGGCATGTCCTCACTTAACCACACCCCATTTCTTGTTGATTTGTATGACCAAGTATGCAAACAGTATGAGTTTGCTCTGAGTAATTTTGACCCATAGAACAACGTTAGTTTAGAAAAATTCTCTGTTTGTTCTTTTAAATCAAGAATTTTCATTTGTTGAAATATGTAAAATGGAGTGTGAATTTGCAAATGAGAGTATGCATTGCCTCCAATGGATTACCATGCCGACCTCACATTTAAATGGTTTTGGTTGTGCATTTGCAATCGAATGTAGTAGTCCCCTCAATCGATGGATGGGTGTAGATTAGTGTTATCCCCTCTTTTAGCATATCGATTGTCATGTGAGTACAACATGATTTTTTATTCATTCACTTCTCCTTTTCTCTCTCATTCTTTTGGCTATACATATACAGTTATATTGATTGGCCTTGCTTCTCTTTTTATTAGAAGGAAATTGATCGCTCATTCAGACTGTATTACAGTTCTATTGGTCACTTTAGGAAAAACCTAACTCATAATATTTGTTCATTCTCACCCAACTTTTAGATGGTGGATCACATAGGAAGTTAAATACATGCGGTGGTGGTGGTATTATGTTTTACTCCCTCTGTCCTAAAATGTTTGTCCTGTCGACTTTTACACAAAGTTTAAGAAACATTAATTATAGTGTCACATCATACAAAATATCCATACTCAAAAGTGTCCTCATTTAAAACAAAAAGGTGGTTATTCCTAGAATTTAAAACCATTTATAATGAGGGGCATAAAAGGAAAAGTAAATATCTCTTTAGTCAAGTGGACAAACATTTTGGGACGGAGGGAGTATTTGGATTTATTTGACAAATATGAAGGAAAACATGGGAATTAATTTTGTGAATTTTCTAATTGAAAGTTACTATGCTATACCCCGCTTGGGATATGACAAAATATGTCTTTCTACTTTGTTTTTCCTCTCAGGCATATTTGAGGGAAAGATTTTATGAACTCATTTACTTGCATATTCTAAATTTTGAAAAAAGAAATTATGTTAATTAGCAGTGTGCTGAATGCCATGCTTGATGAAATAAGGAGTACATGGAGTGTTTCGTAGCTGCAAAATAGCTATAGACAATTATACACACATTGTAATTTGATGTGGTGACTAATCATGGATGTTGTATTACGATGCTGATTTGTATGTTCCTATCCTTTCCTTTGGTTAAGTGGTCCAAAGGGAAGTCTCTTCTCACTTCTTCATCTTCTTCTCTTTGTTCTTTCCATCATTTTGTTCAATGGTTTTGTATATCTGCCTTTTCTTTTATATTATTCATTTTGAGATGTTGAGTCTACATGGAACTAGGATTTTTCAGTTCTCATTGATTCATTCAAAGATTTTTGTAGCTTTGTTGTGCTTTGATGTTATTTGACAGTATCTCCTTGCATGTTTTGATACCTTTCATTGACCTGATTATTTTAATTGTTCTGCCAGATCAGATATTGGAGATTCTGTCGAAACAATATACTCATGACTTCTTCGGTGCATGACCTTTCAGGTATTTTTGCTGAAAATATTGATCAAATAACAATTATAATGATAATTGTATTTGTGTGCATCTATATTTAATTTATTACTCTCCCCGCCCATGATTCTTTCCTTTTTCTTTTTTCATCCGGTCTAAATTAATGTCCTTTTTCTATTTCTAGAAGTGAATAATATTTGAAGTTTACTATTTTATCCTTGTTTAATATATTTCTTTCTCAATAAATATATTAGTAAAACCACTACATTACCATTAATTAAATCTAGATAGAAACAAAATTAAAATATCAATATTTAATCTTCCATTTGTAGGGGTGTGCAAAACCACAGACTGAATCAAGCCAAAAACTAAACCGACCCATTTTGGTTCGGTTTGATCAGCTATTAAATGGAGTTTCGGTTTGTCGTGTAGTCGGTTTGAACCAAATTTATTGTTTGGTTCGAGTCGGCTTAAAACATGGCAAAAACTGACCGGTTCTATTCAAGTCAGTTTGGCTCAAATGTCAATTTCGGTTTTTCGTCCAAAAACTTCGGTTTGCATTTTTTGGCCTTGGTTCGGTTTGGTTTGAACCTAACCAGCCGTTTGCTCACCTCTATCTGCTTATCCATTAGCCATTTGCCTTAATTATTGAATAAATAATTATAGTTTGGTTGATTGCAATAAAAAATTAATATGGATATTTATGTAATATTAATACAAGTGTTGTTAGAATTGTATGATTCACGATTCGTATCGAATCTAGGAGAAATCGATATGAATCTTAGGGATGAATCGAAGAGCACCCTGAATCGGAAGCGAATCGGCGGCGAATTACACGAATCGGAATGAATCGCAACAAATCAACGATTCACCTAAAGTATAAAAAAACAAAAAAAAAAAACTAAAATATGGGCCCAACGCATGTAGACCTATTCCTAATAGGAGTAGGAGATTAAACTTCACATATATTAGGAAAATTAAATGACCCAAAGTCAGAAAGACAGAAACAACAGTACCTGGTTGGCTTGATTCACAAGAATAAGAAGTAAAAGAACAGAATTTGGGAGGGAAGAGAACAAATTTTTTTTTAGAAGAACAAGATGATATGGTTATATTAGAAGAAGAAGAAGAAGATGATGATGATGATGACGAAGGGCTTGAAATTGGAAATGATGAAGATTAACGAATGAATATGATATTAGTTTGTTTTTATTTTCAAATTGTAATTCTAATTTAATAGTTTGATATTTTGAACTTAGGAACAACACAAATTATTAGGTTTATTTAGTATATGATTGATATTGGAATATTCAATCGAATATTTAATATCTTTTGATAAAATTATTTGGAATTAGAATTTTAATTGATTCTCAAAAGGTTATAGCGAAACTTATGATTCGATTTGATTCTCGATTCAAAAAATGAGGCTTCGATTCACTATTCGATTCTCGATTTGACTACACTGCAAGGATATATTATGAAAAAGTAAAATAAAAATCATAGTTTGATTTTATTAACTAAAATTTATTAATTGTGTGCAAGTCAAACGAGGACAAAAATTATGGGATGGAGAGGGTATTTTTTTTTTATGATGAATGGAATTGTAATATTCCTCAATGAAGATGGGATTCTTTTTTAATCATGGAAAAACTTGGCTAAGCAAGTGATATTCCTCTTAGATGGACAGAATCGCGGTGCGATGTTATTTTTGTTTTAGGAATCTTTCAGGTTGTCCAATTTATATGAAAATGGGAACTTGACTTCCAAAAAATCTTGGTGGAAACCTGGATTCCTAAGGGAAAGGACTTTTTTTCCCTAATAGTCAAGAAATCAGCAGGCAGAGATATATTTTCTTTTTCTGGGAATTCTCTGATGATTTATTACATCGTTTAAAGAGTTTTACAATGACGCAATTCTCTTCGGCTCCGGATACAATCTTGATACTTACATTGGAACCTAAGCTTGGAGTTTGTGTGACGTATCTGGGATTCAGCAAATTGGCTTCCTTTATGGTTGTCAATGAGGTCCACTCTATATTTAATTTATATTCTCACATATTTTTCCTACTTCATGATTAGCATGTATTGCTGGTTGGACAAGACACCTTGGGGAATTTGTACTTATTAGATGATTTTTATGTTCTTTATTAGGCTATTTTATTTATTTTCTTCATGAATAGTGGCTAGCATACTTTTTGTGCTTAACAACATGTGTGAAGATGGTTGTCCAGATAATAACGAAGCTAATGAGCAGCAGAAACATACAGAACCTGTGATTCAGCCATCATCTCCTGCAACTGCAGTAGTGCACCCTGGGATCTCAACCTCAAATATCCAGTATGCAACAAGTCCACAACTTGGCTCAGGACATACCATGGTATTATCTTTGATTATTGTGTTTATTTATTTATTTATTTTGAAGATAGTTTGTGCGAAAGCAAGAGTTAGATACTATAAGTTTCATCTTTGTTTCTATATTTATTGATATGTTGGTGATATTTTCTTTTAGACAACTTTGAAATAACAAATTGAGTATTGGAGATTACTTTTTTTCATCAATCCATTCTACCTAGGCTTCATGTTTAACTGTATGATATTTAGACTACGTTATCCTGTTGGCCAAAGAATTCTAACTTTAGACACTAGTGTCTGTGTGATGATTGTTGTGATTGGGTTCAGATGTTCTATTGTGTACCTAACTGTGTTTCTGTTAGTGATTTATTTAATTTACAATCGAAGTCAAAAATCAGTGTTGCCACTTGACAACTTGAATTGCACTCTCATGTCATAGACCATATTCCATCTCCTAGTCAATTTTTTTGGTTAAAAAATATGTATATATCATAATGACTTTGTCACCTTTATTTAACACGAGGATTGTCATATTCTTACTTGAGGAAATTATGGCATATGTTGCTTGAACTAGGATACAAGTATCTGATGCAGGTACATGTCCTGGTGTCTGACTTGCCAATTTTCCAATACTGTATTAGGTTTTCCCACTAATTTATAGTGCTGAATTGCCTTACCATGTACAAATATCTTCATCTCACATGGGCACTTTAGGGTAAAGTGAAAAGTCAAAGTAACTATAGTTATGGCTTTGAGGAGGTTGTGAGCATGTATTGGGAAAGGTGGATTCATGGTTAGTGAATTGATTCGACTCATACGGACATACTTCTTAAGTAAAGGGAGTTATCAATCTGTTACAATTTTCCCATATTTTGTGGTGCCTTCTTAAGTGATTGATGCTGAGATTTGATGTGAAATCAGGAATAGGAAAGCATGCAAATGGGTGAATGGGGTAGCATGATAGATAAGTTCAGCGTCTTTGTAGGATAAGAGGAATTGAATTTTGACTAGGTTTTCCATACATCACGTCGAAATTCTTTCAAGTTTGTGAGATGCAGACATTTACTTCTGCCTTTTGGTTATTCTTTTGACCAGAATTGAGTCTGAGCATTGATGAGTTTAATGAAGTGAATGTGGTAGTTATAGTCATTGGAGAGTACATAATGGGGTGGTGTTGAACTATTGGGTCAATAAGGTGAAGATTTTGTGTGAATGGTGGCTAAGTTGGTCACTGGGATAGAAAACTGTCAATCATTTCTGCTGCTGCTGCTGGTCGTGTGTATCTAAAACTAATGATGTGGTGTGGTGGTCTTGTATCATACTTAGTTTTATGTGATATAGATGATGTCTTGTAGAATATCTGTTTCATTTGTGTAGCAACTGGCAGCTGTCAACTGTAGGTGGATGACTTGTTGATAGTAGCTCTATAGTATGATACTGCTATTTGGTGATGGCCTGCAAGCCATGTTCCATAAACATGGATATGTGAGAGGATATTGCTCACTTGTTATTGTGCCATTGAAGCAGGTCTTTGGCTGGGTAATTTGGGAATGATCCCAGATCCCACCTTTTAAAAATGAAGTGGCAGCTCTTAAGATTCGAAACATGCACTCGGGGTTATTCACCTGAGCCTTTTAGAGCTTCAAACAGTAACTTCAATTTTAAAAGTAGAATATAGAGATGGTAAGTACATCTATAAGTAAATATGAGAGAAACTGTTCTTTGATACTGTTATTCTTTTTCCTCCATTTCTCAAAAATCTTATGCATCATTTTCTTCAGAGTGGAAATTACAGTTACCTAATTTGCATATGGTCCATTGAATCAATGGCCTTAAAAGGGACATCATCCTACCGAGATGTTCCCACAGAAAGTGGGACTGAGATTTAGAGTCTTGCAATATTTACAGGGATTTAATGTTTTTACTGTTATATTAGACATATAAATGGCAAAACACATTAGTTTTTTCTTATATATCCCAAAAGGCTACCAAATTTGTTTAAAAAAATTATGGAAGTTTTTGTTTGTAAGGTTCTCGCAACTTCTCTCTTAGTAGTCGTGCCCTTATTTATGCAATTAGCAACTTAGCATGTTGCACGTAGGGCTGTAAAAGAAACCAGTTGAGCTCGAGCTTGGCTCTCGGGCTCAGCTCGATAACCATAAATGAGTTGAGATTGATTTCGAGCTCAAAATCTATCAGGCCATAAGACGTTGTTACCATGAGCTCAGCTCGATTCAATAAAGATGGCTCCTGGGTTAATGAGCTTAGCTCGAGCTCGGCTTGTCTATTGAACGAAATCGATAGCTTGGCTGGAGCTCGGCTTGATAAGGTTATTGAACAAGCTCGGGTAAAGCTTGATAAGGATCTGAACCCTTAACTTCGCGCCAAAAGCTAGCTCGTAGGGAAAGGACTGAACCCAGCCTTATACACTAGCCCAGGATGTACTCCGCGGGCGATGTGGGATGCATCATCCCCACCCTTTGATAAGGGTTTATTACAAGCTCGGGTAAAGCTTGATAAGGATCTGAACCCTTAACTTCGCGCCAAAAGCTAGCTCGTAGGGAAAGGACTGAACCCACCCAGCCTTATACAGACTAGCCCAGGATGTACTGCCGCGGGCGATGTGGGATGCATCATCCCCAACCCCCATAGGCCTGACTGCCCTCAGTCGGCGTTCTGGACGAACCCCATAGATACCGACCTACGGAGCCAGAGCTCTGACTACCAAAATATAAGGATCTGGACCTTTAATTCGCCCCAAGCTAGCTCGTAGGGGAAGGACTGAATCCACCCTTATTAACTTCGCCCCAAAAGCTAGCTCGTAGGGGAAGGACTGAATCCAGCCTTATACACTAGCCCAGGATGTACTCCGCGGGCGATGTGGGACGCATCAAAGCTTTTATCAAGCCGAGCCTCGAGCAGCTCACGAGCTCGACTCATTTCAGTCCTAGTTGCACCTGTTTTTGTGCGGTTAGCATGTTGCATCTGTTTATTTGCAGTTTGCATGTTGCATCTGTTTATGTCCAGTTAGCATATTGCTGTTGGAAGTAATAGAACAGTGGTAATAGGAGATGTCTATGCAAGTTAACTAAGCCAAATTTAACCAAATTTTACTGAATATCTTTTTAAGTGATAACTGAACTCAAGTACTTAGAAACCACAACTGGCATATTTTGGTTAGAGACAAGCACCTAAAGCCATCAATCTCTCAGTCCCACCAACGGTCTGTCTAGTCATGGAAATTTTTTTAGGTTCATCTCTTTCCATGCAATATTCAAGTCGAGTGAAATACAGTGTTTTTATTGTACGATCACATTCATAAAGATGTAGTTTTGTTGAGAGTTATTGAGGAAAGAATCATGCGTTACAGTTGATGATCTTTGGAACTAGGGGTTAGGATTTTGCAGAGTAAAGATGCCACCTCAGCTTTTGCTCCAGAAAGTTCAAAAATTTGGTTGTGGTCAAATGCTTTTTTGACAAATGATATTGTATGAGTAGAGTTAGAGAGGAAATAGAGTCAAAGGAGGCAGAAAATTTTCCTCCTAATAAAGAGTGAAATGAGTTGACCATTACGAAAACAAACTGACTGTCTAACCTCATTACATATCTGCTAGAGAGACCCATCTCAAAAAAATAAATGCAGAACACTATGTGCATAACATGGACACCGTTTTACCTGAAAGTAATAGCAAGTAAAGACTTAAAACTTTAGTATTATGTTTCCAACAAGAACTTCAGCATCAAAGTCTCATGTAATACCAACATTTTTCCTCCTCCTTCCTCTCGAAACCTTTCGCTTGAAAAAGCTAAGGTTACATGGAGGCAGATCCTCTTTTTCACTAGTAATGACTAGACATTTATTTCAAATACTTCATGAAACAGAAAAAATGCAAAAACATGTATGCAATTATGCATCAATCTAACTGCTGTGAAAGATAGAATCTAGACACCAGATGACATTGCTTAGGAGGTCTTTAATCCTGTTTTTTATTATAATTAGTGTTATCAAGTAGTGCCCTCTGATTAAAATTCTTAAATCTGTGGGAGCATTGAACTTCATTTTGTGACGTGAGGTTCCATTCAAATATTATTTATTTTTTTAAAGGAATTTGATGGTTATTGAACTATAGAGGTTGGGGAAGACTTGGCTGTGGCAAGTCAAGGAGAGGTTAGGCCAAGGGTTACCTTTAAATACTTTCTGGCTTTAATGTTCTGCTGTTCTGCTCATAACAACAGTTGCATGAATGTAGTAAACCTGCATGGACATTTTTTTTTTTTTCTTTTTGGAGAAAAAGCAAGGATGTAATTGTTCATTTTATATATTTTACTACAACCTTGCTTTTGATGGCTGTTAACTTTATTATGTCCCCTTCAACATCATTGGCTTCTAATATTCATGTTGAAGGCATTTCCTTCCTTTGGATAATGAAATTCTCCTGTGACTAGGCTAAAAAACTTGTTCCAGTATTTTCTCAGACCAAATAATAATTGGGTACTTTTCACATGCTAACTTCCTTGCTTGGCTCGTGGAATTGAAGGCAGCAGCGGCTTACCCGTACCCGGATCCCTACTATAGAAGCATATTTGCTCCCTATGATGCTCAGCCGTATCCTCCACAGCCCTATGGTGGACAACCAATGGTAATTTAATATTTATGATGTCACCTGCTTGAAACATGGTTCTTTGTGGAAACATATATCTTTTGTTTAATGATAACTTGTTTCAGGTCCATCTTCAGTTGATGGGAATTCAGCAAGCTGGAGTTCCATTGCCAACAGATGCTGTTGAAGAACCTGTATTTGTCAATGCAAAACAATATCATGGCATCTTGAGGCGACGACAGTCCCGTGCAAAAGCTGAATCAGAAAACAAAGTCATCAAGTCTCGGAAGGTATGTCCTGACCTTTCAGAAGCAAATATCTTGATGCTCATTATTGGTCAACCCGATCAACTAGATTCTTAAAAGTAAAAATCTCGGCTTTGCTAACTCTGCTTTATCTGTTATTACCTCTGACGTCTGCCCTGTTAGTTCATTGTCACTGTTAGAGGTCCTTCCTTGCTTAAATATTTGAAGTTTAAGCATCTCTAGACCACAGGTATAGTTTTCAATAATCATCTAATGTTGGTGGTGGAGCATCAAGGTGAAAAAGTTGATTGATCCATTGAAATTAGTGTGGGGATTTGGTAGAATTCACAAAATTAGAGAATACCTAGCTTCACATTAGTAGCTTTTAGGGCTTGCTCCTATCAAGAAAGTTACACAATTCTGGGATTACAATTGCTTGCTAAGCTCCTAAATAAGCATAAATACAAGAGGGAAAAAGTAGAGAGCAAGCACGACAGGTCTAGGTATTTATGCAACTCTTAATTCTTAAGTGTTTTGGCTCATAATTTTTGAAACTTGCATTCCTGTGTATGAACGAAGATCTTTTTACGTACTAGATTAATTAGGATTTCTCTTAGCATTCAAAATATAAGCAGATTTAAATTAATGCCCATAAGACTTTATAAATTGACCAGAATAATATGTAAGCAGAATGTTAGAATACCTTTTGCACTGAATTGTGAATAATATGAAAGCAGTGCACGTGAATTTGATTCCCTTATCAGTCAAATCAAATCTTGCGGTTGATAAATCTGATTTGGATTTTATCAGTCAGCTCATAGTCAATGACCAACACATCAAATTTTCTTATTATGTCAGAGATGCAATGCGTCAATATGATAATCTTACACTGCATCAACTTCACATGTTGAGTTTTAGAGACTTTGCTTTACCACGTACAACTCTTTTTCATTCCAAAGTTCTCACATCGGATCTTTCATGACTCACCAACTCAAACTGATCTGGCAGCCATACCTGCATGAATCTCGACATCAGCATGCATTGAGGAGAGCAAGAGGATTAGGGGGTCGGTTTCTCAATTCCAAGAAAAATGAGAATCGTGAACAGAAGGAAGTCGCATCAGGTGACAAATCACAATCCAATATCAATCTTAACTGTGATAAAAATGATATTGCTTCCTCAGATAGCCAATGTTGATATATGATGGAAGCGGGTTGAGCTTGCATTGGGCCCTCAAATCAGTGATGTTCAGCAAAGCCATCCCCCAATAGTCAGTGATGCTTAACACTGGCTCTTACAAGTCATTAGTTATGTATAGCTTTGTCTAGTAGTCAGTTTGTAGGGAGGTTGAAAAAAAAAATGAGCAGGTACTGTAATTAGTTATGGATAGTTGTCAGTGAATTTTCTTTTTTTTTTTTTTTTTTTTTTTTTTTTTTTTGAAAAAAAAAAATCGAGCAGGTACTGTAATTAGTTTATGGATAGTTGTCAGTGATTTTCTTTTTTTTTTTTTTTTTTTTTTTTTTTTTTTTTTTCTTTTTTCTCATGAGAGGAGTGTTGCTTAGGTTCTGTGTGTGAGCATTTCTTTGCTTTTAAGAATGCGGTCAAGCTAGAGCTTTTTCTAACAAAAAATTGATGTCTGTGTTAATTAGTTGAGTTGGTTATGTTTCATTAGCTTAGTGAAGATTAGGTTGGCTGTTGCTATGTAGTTTTAGCCTTTTCATTACTTTTGTTCTCAACTTTTCTAATAAGTTTGAATGGTTTGATTACCACTGGCATTGCTGCTCTATATTGTTGCTGTGTGATAAAAGACCTAAACCGATGCATTCATCATCGTTTTCTTTGAGCCGTGTCATTTTCCAGATAAAAGTTATTTTCTCCGGGGACAAACAGAGCCTAAGTTTCTGTGTTCAAGCTTTAGTTTGCAGTCCTGAATCAGTGGGGTTAGGAGGTGGGGATTGCAGAAGAGTTGAGCCTGAGCTTGTTAAGTACCTACAAAATTTCCAAATTGTATATTTCAATTTTGGAATCCCCACTTCAGTTGACCTAGCTGTCATTGTAATACTAGGAATGACAATGGGACAGGCCAGGGGCGAGTTTTATATTATAATTTACTATAAAAAATTAAAATAATTATATGTATATCACTATTATTTAGAATTTAGTGTTTCATTAAAAAAATTATATTGTTTAAATATAGAAATAGATTGTAAAAAATTTTGGTTTCATGTGAATTGAACAAAAAATAAAATTCTAAAACAACATACATGACATATTCAATTCAAATGTGTCTAAATTGAATACAGAAGGCAAGTGTACATCCTAGTTTTCAGAGGATACTAAAAAATTATTTGAAGAAATATGATTAGAGGGGCCATTATAAATGTGGGCAATCCCTATTTTTTTTATACATTAAATTAATAGTTGACTTATCATTTTTTTTTTTTCAGTGAGGACATTTTACTAGGTCAATTGTTATTAAATTTGTTAGTGTTTTCTGATAGACATTTACAAGAACATTTAAATAATTAATCTTTGTTATATATATATATATCTTTGTTATATATATATATATATATATAGATAAAGAAAAAGATAGATATAGAAAGTCACTAAACAAATGTTACGAGATAAAAAAAAAAAAAATTATCTCCAAATATTGCTTGTTTTAATTAATTAATTAATTAATGTTGTGTGTTAGACAAACCAATTGTGCATTGAGAAAGACGTTTGAAGTTTTCAACAATGGATAGTGTTTAGTAAAAGTCATTGACAAGAAAAGCATTTATACTTTTCAAAACAATTAATGTTATGTGCCAAACACGTTGCATAAATTTTCATACATTGGATAATTTTCCATAAAAAAAAAAAAAAAAAAAAAAAAATCAAACAAATGCCTCCATCTTGTAATTATCACTAAATTAAACTATAATTTGTGAATGATTTTTTTTAATAGAAATTCAAATTAATTTTACACTATTGCATTTGAATGAATTTCATACTGCTAATCATTTTTAATATATGTATACAAAGGAAATTCATTTTATTCGATTTAAATGGAATAACTCTGACCGTTTTAAATTAAAAAATAATAATTTTAATTAATATTAATATGTACAGAATCTGAATTTTCAAAACATAAATAGTTCTTTTTTTCAATAATGCCGTTTTCATTTTAGTAGAAATTCTCATTGGTGGTGTTAGGGAAAGAAATTAGAAAAAAAGGTCAATAAAGTGGGTATTACTGTTGACCAATGTCAATGATTTTAATAAGTAAATGGGTCATTCAAACAATATGATATCTCTCAATTATCTCTTCATCAAAACAATTGTGGAATCTCCAAATTCAAAGCATCACTATTACCTTCTTTTGTTTTACATTATCTCATTCCTCAATATATATTTTTTTTTTCAGCAATTGAATCATTTCAATTTTGCCCTAAGTTCCCAAAATGGATTTTATTTTGTCCTTTTTCACCTCCCATTTAGAGTAGAGGAGAGGAGAGGAGAGTTGGGTTGTTAGGTCATGAACTTATATATATCTATAATAGAGCTTTTGTTCACATTTTCATTTGTGAATAATGATGCTCAACTTTATTATAAACCCATATGATCACATTTTTATATTTACACAGCCAAAATTTGTAAAATATACCTATTTTTAAAACTATTTCACCTTTAATTTTCCTTTTTTTCATTAGAAACCCTATTTTCATATGTCAACAATGTATAAATATTAATAAATAAATAATTTTATATCTTTCAATCAATTCCTTAACCACTATTAAAATAACTAATACCTATCAAAACAGCTAAGTTTATCGAACAGACCCTTAATTCTTAGCTTTTTATAAAAAACTATTCAAACAGCTAAATGCTACTAAATAACTCACAGTTATCAAAACAACTAATTTTGCCGAACAGTCCCGTAGCAAAAAAAAAAAAAAAAAAAAAAAAAAAAAAAAAAAAAGTCGAAATTGCATATGTAAAACTTCATGGAGCACTAACCTAATGGAATAATCCAATTTTCTCCACATTGCCTATGTGTGTGTAATTGGTACAAGTATTTCTAATTGATAAAGTAGATCAAAATTCAAAGGATGTGACTGGGATAATATATATGGTATAGCAATCAAAGCCTAAGTCAATAGAGATTGTACATATTGGTCATATATTGTTGCTTCATACAATCAAATATTAGTACCATGAATGTTAGGTTCCTTTTTTTTTTTTTATCGAAGATATAAAAACTATTATTGAAGAGGGGAAAAAAATATCAGTATTTAAATTTTGATATTTTGTATATTCTATGATAAATTAATTAGCTTTATTGGTATATCTGCTTTTTTTTTTTTTTTTAATGAAGTATATAAAAACTATTATTGAAGAGGGAAAAAAATATCAGTATTTAAATTTTGATATTTTGTATATTCTATGATAAATATTAGCTTTATTGGTATATCTGCAAGTAATTTTAAATAAAATTCAATTCAATTCACCAATTTTGTGTTTGAAATAATTTAAAATTCAATTCAATATGAAATATTGTTTAAAATATCCTTAAACAGAAATAGAGAGATAGAAAAAGAGAAGTAAAAAAAATGAGAGAATGAGAGATATAGAAAGAAGAGAAGAAAAGAAAGGGAGAGAGAATAAGGAGAAGACAAGGATGAATGAGAGAAGAAAGAAAAAGATGAGCAGGATATAGAAAGGAAAGAGAAGAGAACAAGATGAGGCATTTTGACAATTTTTGTAGAATTCTTTTTTTTTTTTTTTTTTATGAAAGATTTCACCAATTTTGATGGAAATTACTGTAGTCATATTTAATTTAATAAAATTAAATTCGTAGAATTGAAATCACATTTTTAACGTAACAAACACTAAAAATCTGGAATTCAATTATATTTCACAAAATTGATTGTAAATAGTTAAATTCATTATACTTCACATATTTAATTCTATGAAATTGATTATACTTCCAAATTTAAAAAAATTGGCAAAATTTATATATAAATTCAAAGCTTAAAAATAATACAAATTGCTAAAGTTGAGAACATGAAAAAAAGGTGTTTATTTATTTAATTAATTAGCTATAGACTATTTTCTTTTTAAATATGTTGTGTTTGACAAAGAAATGAATTAATAATTAATATGTACATTCCTTAATTTTCACAAGGAAATTAAAGAAAAAGCAAGTCTTGTACAAGAAGATGTCCTTTACTTGTTGTTATTAAGGTTAAACAGCAAACCTACTCATGAAATCTTGATGTTTGACCTATATATAATTAATTTAAAGAATGAGAGTGGTTAGAAAATTAGTTAGATGATGTACCCATTTTCTTCTTTGATACTAAAAGTTGCATTTTAAGGGTGCATTTGTGCTGGACTATTTCAGACCACATCAAATTCCTCAACTTTAAGTGAAAGCTATATTCAAATACTACTATATAACTTTATGTTTATAAAAAAATTTGGTATTAGTAAAAATTACAAGTAATTAATACCATTTCATATATAAAGTCTCAGACTTTACTTTAATATTAGTACAGCTAAATTTGAGATAATTTATTTTATCTGTTTCAAAATATAAGTCGTTTAAAGTTTTTAAATAGACTTGTTATGGAGTCTTCAAAATATGTCAAAAATGAGAATTTACTATTGCATTCACCACCTTCTAATTAACACTTTTTTGAACAAACATAGAGATTATTAATTATGCTCCTCTTTTGTTTAGAGGTGAGAAAACTTTAGAAAAAATCAAAAACCAAATCGAACCAAATTATTTTTGATTTTTGGTTTCGTCATTTGGATTGAAATCTTTTATTTCAAAATATTTATTTTTTGAGTAGAACCAAATTGTTTGATCGAACTGAACCTACCAATTTGAGTTGATTTTCAAATTTATTTGGATTTGATTCAGAACCGAACTGCCCATTTGCACACCTCTGCTTTTGTTATCACTCCACGTATTGACATACTAAAAGAAAAGGAAAATATAATGTGTATAGAAACTATGGTAATGTTATATAGACAAGTAGTTGATTGATGCCATTAAAGGACTTAATTAATGTTGATAGTTGTGCATGGGTCTCATCACACATCCAAAATTAGGGTTTTGAGAAATAAAAAATTCATATACTTTAATACCACTCCTAATCATAGCATATATAATTTATTGTGCTATAATTAGTAGCAAAGATATCTAAGATTTTGCCTCACATGAGGATGGGATTCTTGTTCTCTATCCTTGTGTACCTTTACACCTCCTATCATGCATGGACCCCCAAGAACAGTAGAGAAAGAAAGAGAGAGAGAGGGAGGTGTACAATGGAAGCAAAGCAAAGGCACACAATTCTAGAGAGA